GGTCGCATTTTTAGCGGAGCCTATACTTTGCACTTTGCGGTGTACCTCTCTCTTCTGGAGTTGTGTCCCGTTTGGGGAGAGCACTGGCCTCAATATGGCCTGTTAGGGCAATTTTGTTGGAATGAGTTGGAGACTGGTAGATGAGAAGAGAAATGGGAATCGCTAATAATAAATACAAAATTAATTACCTGTTAATACCCCAAGGAGTAGGCAGACAGATTCCGAATGGGGAAATGCGAGTCTGAATGGAGAAGTATGAGGTCTTTTCTGCGCCTCACGGCATATGTTGTAGTGGTGACAGTCGGTACCGGTCTTCAATCTCACAATTTTGCTATCTCAGATTGAGTCTCAAATCAAGATAGCAAGTCTGTGTTGTCTTAATGTCAGGTGGTTTCAGTTTGTCATGCGACCGCTGCGCCTAGTTTTAATATAATCATACAATCATACAACACCGCTTTGCCACACGGCAATCTCGCTACCTAATGCTAAACATGTGCGTCACTGCCACCTCTACAACATACTGCTAGGTGGTTTTGGCGCACGCCACTCCTACTCCCATACCTATATTGTACAACATACCTCGGTAGAGATGCATAGTTCCCAAAAAAAAAAAAATCTTGCAAGGTCCTCGTGTCTCAGTAAAACCTGGCAGGTTACATCGACAGAACTCTAAGAGAACTCTAAGCGAGAAAAGTGCGGGGGGAAACACGATTAACCCCATCTGGGTAGTTCCACACACAACCATGGTTGAGAATGAGCGTGCTCGCGGGTAAATCATGATTTTCTTCCAATTACTTATGTTGTACTCAGTAGGTATCTTATAAGCTTCCAAGGTTGCCCGATTAGGCATTTTAGACGGCCCCGCGCTGACATGTACTCCGCGTATGCCGAACATTCTATATCAAACAATTTCGAAGGCAAAATGGCAAATTATGGCGTATACGATTAACTACAACATAGAAAGTATTAGAGAGAAATCATTAGCGGTCAATGTGGCGTGCTGGGCATGTGTTTCAGATATGCTCCTCGGTACTCCGTATCCATGAAAATACTCCGGACTCCAGAGTCATATCGCGATCTCAGTTCCAGACTTCGAGGACCTTGTATAACTGGCTGCGTATGTGCGCGACCCGAGACAATAGACCCAGTACGGTACTCCGTACCCAGACCCTGATTCGATCGTCTCAGACTGGGATAACCTTCAATTGATCAGCCGTACTATCGCTTGCAACTTGCTCTTTGGAGCTGCTTGGAGCTCTTCAGGTAGAGCACGTGCTTGACAGAGTAGAAAATATTGAACATTAAACCTACTACTCCGTAACTACCGAACTATAACGCCAGTGCCAACATGGCTGGAAGAACGTGGGAGGCAGGGTTCGTTTCAGGTAAGATCTGCTGTGGATCTGCTGTGCATCGAGTTGGTGGTTCGTGTGGGGGCTATCAGCTTGAATTTCGATGGTTCCTTGCCCATTTCCAGCTTTAGAAGTGTTCCCAAGGTTAGGTTACCACTACACCATATCAGGTAAAGTGACAAAGTTACATGGCCAATGGAAGTTTCTCGACGTTCTTATTTAGGATAATTCTCCTGTCGCAATCTTCACGCGAGATTTATGAAGCTTCAACTCCAGCATAGTACCTCCCGAGGTCTCTACGGAGTACAGAATGGGGAATGGTGCGTAAACTAACCCCACTTTCTACTTGAGGGTACAGATCGGCCTGCAATCCACTGATTAGACAAATTGGACAAATTAGAACAAACGAGGTCCGATCGAAGGATTTTTGAGACTCGGTACGATCCTGCCAAAAAGAATTGATTGAATGCGGAGATAGACTACCAGCCCGTGGTGGGAATATGCATTAGGGCACCAGATTCGTTTCCACACGGGCCGCGGTCCTCGCCAACCACAGAGCTCGCTGGATTTCGTGTCCTTTCCAAATTCCCATGGAACCACCTCTATCATCCTTGACCCCAATATCAAAGATAATGATTCCTTGGCTCAGGTACCATTACTCCAACCTACTCCGTAGATAGTATGGTTATACCCAATTATCAGGCTTTTCATGAGAGACATAGTGGGTCAAAAAATAATTTCGATCCTCGCTACGGAGTATCGTTTCGGACCTGGATCTCTGGTACGAATGGGGGTGAGCAAAGACTCCCGAGGTTCAAAATGATGTGATTCTCACCCGTGCTTCCCCAGCCCTATCTGATCAATCCTGGATGGTTTCCCTGGTACTGAGGTCCCAAAGTATCCATCTGGCGGCCCGGGGAGTATTCCCAATGAGGCCTAGCAGGATGCCGTACGCTTCGTGATCAAAGAGAGGCATTTCCATACTTACCGAATTTGGGCATTCATCAAGTCCGCACGTGCAAACTTTCTCCGATAACTATCGCGCTATATTCCCTAGCCTATGGACATCTGTCCCCACTCAATTCACCAAAAATCCCCGAAGGCCATACTAATCGAGCGTGTACATCATGCGGAGTATGCAGAATGTACTCCGTGAACTCTATCCGATAAGCGTATAAGCGCTTATCCAGCTCGGAGAGGCTCGGCTCACCGACTACATTCGTCCCTAAGCTATCAGGATCGACGACCGGGTCCCATTTGCCTTCGTATATAGCACAAGTCTCTAAAGAAAAGTGGCTCTTTCCAACGTTTAACCAAGCCCGCGGCAATGGGAGCAGATCACCTTCCCGCGCAGTATTTGGTACGTAACAGATTTCACTGGGGGTCTTCTTCGGTTCAGCTACTCCGTAGTGGCCATGACTCTGCGCTGAGAGACAAGCTCACTGTTCTCCGCACGAGCTGGCTCTTGCGGCCAGTGTATGTACAAATCCAACACATCGTCTCATCAATGGCTTTGGAGCTGGTTCTGGATCCACGGGCTGAAACCACAGCGTGAGCTGAGATGAGACTTGACGCGGCACGCCTCCCGTGACGGACAGTTCTGGCGAGACTCATTCGAGACGAGAATTGCCATTTTCGCGAAAGCGATTCACCGATGAGCCGGTGTGCTGTCTTGTCTTGTCTGCTGTCCAGCGCTTGGCCGGTCTGTCCAGTCTAAATCGCAGCTGAAGACACGCCATTGGCAGTGGATACACAGCCTGAATGGCGTGCGTCGTTAGCAGCAAAACACTGGACGGTGCTCGTCTCCAGACGGGCTAAAGCGGGTCTTTCGACAGAACTTTGATCCAAGACGTGGTACCCATTTTAGGTAAGTACCTTGCAAGAAGCCTCGCTACAACACACAACACACCTGACTCATGTCCTCAATTTACCTAGTTAGTAGTACAGACCTCTCCATACCAGGTCCACATATGAAGCACCCACCAAATGTACCCATTTTCTACCCACACAAAACAAGCGAACCCACAAGCAAACTTGGGTTGGGGAAATCACCGTGGAGTCCGACGAACCCGAATCTCGGATAGCGATCGGGAAATACATCATACAATGTCTCCAAGCACCACATCTGGATATTAATTCCTGAAACAACCACCAAAACACAGATTAATGCATCCACAACAACCAGTCGAAGTCTGGTACATTCAGCCAGCCCTTGATCCTGGAACAAGCCACTCCGTCAAACCTACAGTGGAGATGGATACGGAGTACGGAGTATGGAAGCGTGAAAAAATTGAGATACGATCTCGGATACGTGCCTACTAACTCCAGCCTCCAAATGGCCAACGGGACGAGGCGGATTGCGTCGCGTAAACCGAGCGCCAAGAGCTCCAACTCCATCTGCGGGTCGCGAACGTTCCCATCAGAGCACAGCTGCTTGCTATATCCTCGTTATTACCCGGGTACGGCATGTACCTTGTGAGAAGGCGAGGATGTCGGGTGCAACCGATCGCCGGCCGGTGTAGCTATCGGGCCGAAGTTGATATTTCGGCGAACTATTCTGTGCATACCATTGTTCGGCCCTAATACCACGCGGCTCTATGGTTTTTCTAAGCTTGCGCAACATTGTCTAATTCCTTCTCAGGTGGATGCTGTTTTTATATTAACGGCAATATTCGATAATGTGGCCTTGAAGGCCGTTCAATGTTGGGTTCCTGCCGAGATATTTCTTCTACTTGGTACGATCCAGGGAACAGAAATTGATGTTCTGCATTTGAATTCGGAACGTTGCTCGAAATGAGTTCCTAACTCTAGTTGCAACCTTGAAGTCCTGGGGGAAACTAAAATATAATCCAATTCGAAGGTTGACAACAACCATTGCTCGCCCTGATTGCAGGTCGAGCTCCCACACCAAAAATAAACAGCAAAGGGCCTCAGGAATGGTAAAATTGAGATCACGCTCCCATTAGGAGTCAGTCTCTTCCTATCATATATTCCATAATTCTCATCATCGACCATGTTTATGGAAGAAAGAGAAAGAGAAGAAGGGAAAAGGCATCAAATGGAAAAATTAGCTCCTCGCATATGGCTTACATAATGAAAAAGTTTCTGTGCGCCGAAATCCTTGGAACCTTCCGTTAATGGCAAACGGAAAAACTAAATCTCCGGATTTTCAGCATAAAAGGAAATCCCAGCCAACGACTTTCCTCTTCTTTTCTTTTCTTCTTCGTGCGGCGGCGCGACTCGATATCCCGTGTTGCCTGGACATCTACGGTCATTAGTCTGGCTTTCAGTGATGTAACCCAGGTGTCAGTTGCGCCACAGACGAATGGAATTGCACATTGATTCTTACCTTCACAGGTCTTTCTGATTTCTCAAGGATGAGACCTTGTGGTGGGAATCAAACATACTTTTTTTTTTTATATATATTCTTCGTTATTTTCTATAGCATTAAATGGAATGGAATCAAGTTACCAAATTTCGCACGATTTTTTCACAGCTAGACGGCTCTCATTAGGCACTGAACTGTACTCTTGACTATCATAAGGTTGACACAATGTTGCTCCGTCCCAAGCTATTTCTTTGTCTTCGAAGAATCAAATCGCAGTTATCTCCTTAGTGTAGGCATGTTTTCTCCAGCGTCTATGTTGTTTACTCGCCAGGCTCGTCACCAATCTTCTCCAGCTTGCCCATAGATCGGTTTGCACCCGCCTCGCCAATAACGCGAATGCGGTCAACGCGCAGCTTCTCGCTGTCTCCATCCCCATCAACGAAGAACATAACCAGCGATGTCACATTCTGGAAATTGACAAACCGCAGAGGCACCGTCGCAGTCCCAGTCTTCGCATCCCAATCACCTGGCTTGATCTCCACCTTCTGCACAGGAGGGATACCATCTGCCTCATCGAATCCAAGCACATGGGAAGTATTCTTGTAGAGGTGCAGGTTCCTGGGCCGCATGGGTGTTTCGTCGTCATCGGCATCGGCCTCCGCAGGAGGGAGGAGGTAATCTGAAGCGAATGGACCTTCAGCATCGCGTTGAATGGGACGTACAGCATCAGCTGCTCGTCCGTGTCGCTCTCAGTCCCAATCAGGCTGACCAGCAGCCTTGGCCTTGCCCTTTGCTGCTAGTCCGGACGGCTTCGAGGTGTTAAACAAAGCGCGCGGCTCTGCCGTATCCGTATCCCGGTTCAACAGCTCCAATCCCTTTACGTCAACCTGGTCTGTGATATCGCTATAACCCTTGGGCACTGTGCCGCCGATCCAGGGCTCACCGGAGCTACTTCCTTCGCCGGTTGCTGCGTCGTCCGACTGGCTTGCCTCGGATGCGAGCTTCTGGACAATCTGGTTCAGCTGTGCAGGGTTGGCGCCCTTGACTGTTTGGTTCACGCGGCCGTTCTTGAAGACGATGAAGGTCGGCATCCTAGGTATCGTGTATGTCAGTAAACCAGATGAATATTGTAGAATTGCATGTGCCGGTTGAGCTAGGTTCTAGATCTTCGGATAAATTGCACGTACGCTGTGACGCCGTAGGCTTGGGCGAGCTCTTGTTGGTGGTCGACATTGATCTTGGTGAATGTGATGAGATTCGGACGGGAGAGCTGGGTCGCCAGCGAATTATACGCAGGCGCAATAGCTTTGCATGGTCCGCACCAATCAGCGTAGACTATTCAAGTATCAGGCCAGGGTTAGCGATAGCTCTGCTCGTTCGGAGGGGAAGACAGGGTCTCGGCGGGGCAGGGTCGCGCGGCGGCAAACACTTACAGTCGGCGACGACAAGACGGGATGAGCTGAGGAGCGATGTGAATTGCTCCTTCGATGAGATCTCAATCACAGACATGGTGAAGTTGGGAGGGGAAGGAGCGTAAAATTGGAGGGTGGAAGAGGATGGAAAGTTGTGAGGTTGTCCACGGCCGTGGTGTTTTGCTGCCTCCGCATATGTCATCAGCCCCTCTACACAATCGTCAATCTCATATGGACCACGCCAGGGGATGTATACTCGTAACTATTATTTTACTTTAACTAATTACTATTGAATCGTCTCCTGGAATGGCAGGATTACTTTGGAATCGACTCAAATGCCGAATTATCAATTTTTGGTGTGTTGGATATATATTGTCATTGTCGCCATGCCTACTATGCGATTTGAACTTGTCTATTATGAGTTTCCTTTTTGGTCCTTTCTTCGAAGGAAGGCAAGATATAGATATATACATAAAAGGTGTATTCTCATGTAAATGTGGAACTAAATGTTGACAAGTACAGCATCTGGTCTCATCGTTGAATGCATGAGTTTGAGCCAGGTATAGCCAGAAGGCAAGTGGACGGAGTTGGGCTTCGGAAGGGTGCTTCAGTTTTGTCTCAATCAAAGAGTGAGATAAGTCCAAAGCGAGGATACCACTTGGTGTGCTCTCGGTTTACACAAGGTCCGACGAGAGTGGTGTGCACAAACCAGAAGAGACTGGCGGCGCCTCAAGTGCAAAGGAGAAACCGAGGCCGGAGAACCGACGACAGAAGAAGAGCGAATGTCCAAGCCCGTATCCCATCCGAACCAAAGAGTTGAGTCCCCGGGCGAGACATAGACCAACACAGACATGGGACCATGGGATGCCATTTATCGCACAGCGACACGACGTGAGTTGCACAATCAGACCCGGATTTCAACGATATGATAGAGCAGAGATGATTACCAGGAAAGAGACCATCTGCCAGACATCTCTTCCTCTTCATCCCTCACCTGCCTCAACGGCAAACAGAATCTTCAACCAGAGACTGCACCCGCGACACCCGATAATGATCTCGCCATGCTCCGCCTCCCTCTCCAAATCTTCCTCGTTGACCAAAAACCCGCGCTCATCACCGCACCGACATCCGCGATACCAGCAGTCGCCGTCGCCGCCTTCTGCCTCCTCGCAGGCAAGATCTTCCAAATCCACGATCTCCAAGCCGGTATGGAACACATTGTCAGTCTTCTCCCGTTCCGCGACCTTCAGCCTATCCAGACGTAGAGAGCGATCATATTCAGCGCGGAGGGCGGGGTCCGATAGGGTCTTGTAGGCGGTGGTGATCTGGTCGATGGTGTACAGCTGTCGCGACAAGTTGCCATCGGATCTGGCAAAGAGAGGGTTCGGAGTAGACGTAGATGTAGAATTAGTTGATCCCCCCTAGCCCGGTCTCCCTTGCGACAGCACCCGCCTTGTCAGGGTGGTGTTTCAGCAATGCTTTATGGTATGCGATCTTGATCTGTTGCTTGGAGAGGACTGTCGGCGAAGACCCCGTGAAGGGAAGAGACAGAATCTCATAGAGATCCACAGCATGTGCCGTCCTCGTCATGTTGAAAAAAGTGTATTCCTCTTTCTGTCCAGCGTCTGTTCGTCGTAGCTGGTTGGTTGTGCTGTTTCTGTGTCCCGCGCCGAGTCCTCGAACGACCAGCCAGAGGTGCGCGCCAAGTTGTAATAGTGACACCCCGGAGTTTAGCGGAGAGGCCCAATGGCATGCATTCCAGGGAATGAATGTGGTAATCTGGGGTAGCAGGGGTGCTGCAAAGCGGGGTGAGTGAGCTTTGTTACTGAGAGGATTCCACGAGGATTTGAAAATGGCGGGTCGCCCTTGCACGCCACTTTGGGAGAGGGCCTTCCGGACCCATATTGACATTATGCGTTGGCGACTCCCTCTCTTTTATCTTCTCGACGATTTGGTCATGAATGCATATCTTTCATTATTACAATTTTCATCATCATGATGGGTATTCTTTAGAGCTATGCGATGCAGCTCTGCCAAACTTTACCCGATGGCTCTATGTGACTATGCTAATTCTACATCTTACTCAAGGCGAAACTTACATGCTGTGAATACAGTTGGGACTACTGGCGCATGCAGATATGGAAGGGAATCGAAAGTTCCATTGACAAGAAAAACAATCTTAGTGAGTAATGACTCGGATATCAAGACAGGTATATAAACAGAGACGGGAATATTAGGCAATTTTTGAGCAATCCCTTACTCAGAAGTCTTGAAGACGAAGCGGTCCTCAGTCTTGAAGGGCACACCGAGCTCAAGGAGCTTAACAAAGACATCAGAGAACTCCTTGAAGAAGACATCGCTGTCCTTGGCGTAGCGCTCGACGTGCTTCTTGAAGCCCTTATCCTTCATGAGAGCCATATCAGTGGGCAACATCATGAGAGTGCCAGTGGACTTGTCGGTGAACTGTTTCGGGCCGTTCCACTTCTTCTGGATCCAGTTCTCCTCAGCAAGGAGGCGGAAGAACTCATTTGTGAAAACAGTAGGGCTGAAGTTCCAGGGGCCGTCGAAGCCGGAACGATCGGTGTGGCAGCGGCCCAGGGCATGGGCGCCGATCAGTGCAACCATCTCGCGGTCATCAAAGCCCATGCGGGAGAAGATATCGCGGATGTGACGCTGGTCCTTGGCGGCGTCAGGAAGACGGCCATCGGGAGTGCATGCGGCGACGTCTCTGTCCTCACGGCCGGGTCTCCAGGGGATCGTTGGACCGCCCAGCTCTTGGATAGCGCAAGCACCAGCAAGAGTCCACAGATCGGAGTAAGTGATCCAGGGGAACTGGGCCTTGATGGGCTCGAGGAAGTCGCGGGCGGTCTTGAGACCGGCGTTGGCGCCGTGATCGGACTCCGGGGCGAATCTCATAGTGGCGCCGTTGCTGCCTCCGGTGCCGGTCTCCTTATCATAGGTACCACTTGCGTGCCATGCGAGACGAACCAGGACCTATTGAGAGCAACAAAAACCGCTAGGTTAGTTCTTCGGTCTTCGATGACAACAACGGGCAGAAATGACTACTTACGGGACCATAGCTGCCGTCATCATAGTCGGTCTCGTCGGAAAGACGGGCAGCGATAGCGTCATACACCTTCTGGTAGTCGGCCTGGGTGGGGACGAAGGGCTTCTTGGGGGAGGAGGCGGAGTCGCCGTTCAGGTAGAAGTATGCTCCACCACCGAGGGCACCGAGACCAAGAGCCCAGATGCCGAAGGATGAGCCAGACTTCTTAGGGCCAGCTTCTGAAGCATATCCGCGACGAGGAGAGGCGCGAAGACCGTTGGCGGGGATAGCGAAACGGGTGCTGCGTGCAGCAGGACGGAAAGAGGAGGTCGCCGGGGTTGAGCGAAGGAAGGCCCGGGAAGCAGTTCTAGCAGCCGAAGCCATTATGATAGGGACAGAGAGGGAATATAAAGAAGTCTATGGGTGTTCAGAAAAAAGGAAAGTAAAAGAAGTACAAGTACAAACGAGGAGAGAAGGGAGGAACCGGGGCATTTGTACTTTCTCCTGTCACATTTTCTAATGTCAGTACAACCCTGAACCAATACTTCGGTCTTCTCGTACAGAAGCTGATGGAATCACAGCCAATCAAGGGGGCCACATATGCTATTGCCTCGGCGTTTCGTCCATCTCCGCATTCCGGTACATCATCGTACATCCCCAGACTTTCACTTCTTTCATTTCTGTCATGGTATTCTTAACTATCTCTATATTATGCTGCAATCACAGGAGATCGGACTTGTTGGATTGACAGTACGGACTGATACACCTGACACCAGAGGCGTGAGTAACAAAAACGATATCTCGGAAACAACCATGGGTATTATTAACAACCAAGCGCTGTTTGGTCAACGCAGACCCACTCCGCCGCTTTCGACCTGCTTACCTGATCGACCAGTTTGCCCCGGGCCCACTTTTTGGCAGCTTGCTCAGTAATAATCCAGGTCTAGATACCTAGGTACTATACGGAGTACATCTATGTTTATTGATGCGTCAAATAAGCTATTTGTTAATCTTTGAGTTCGAGATTCCTTGGCAAGATTGAACATGTTTCATGGTCTCGATCTTATTACCCATGGTTCTAACCTGACTGCTGACATCCATGAATGTCCATGGATGATACATCGCTATGACAGATCGCCGCGCGATTTAAAAGTCGATGAAGGCCCAATTCTATATGTAGGGATTACTGCTCTCACCGTAGCAATTGTGTATTAGCAGTGGAGAGGAAAAAGGTATACACAGTCCTTATACTCCGTAGGCGTAACCATATATGCCTTAATTCTCCTCTCTACATATGGATATCTTGCAACAAACTACGAGTACCATTTCTTTCTTGAACCTCTGGGGTTTAAGCTTCTATATTGATTCTTCGTACGAAGTATATTCCCTTGCTCTTGACAAGCAGTCGTTTTTGCCTGCTACTCTCGATGGACCCTCCGAACCCATTCCCCGTGGACAGTAGCACATGTTTAGACCGACAGAACCGCCAATGCTGCAAATATAAGCCATTGCCTCTGGCATTTAACTGCCTACATAGCCATGGATATCAACAGTGGGGTTAACCGGAAAATCTTTTTGAGCCGAACAGTCACGTGATAAATAAGCTTAAGCTGAGGCTAGAATGATCTTACAGAGAAGTACGACGATAATGACCTAGGACAAGGATTATAATGAGATGCGGAGTATATTTGAAGATTGATTTGAATTATTACTTGGGGATGTCCGTCGTAAAAAAAGTCCTGCTGTTCAATAGATATGAACACCAGGGTGGAGTAGACGCAGCTCTGCTAAAAACTGTTTGGTTTTGATATTCCACGAACGAACGATTTAAAAATCACCCAAGAGACGTCCAGTGCCACAGGTAGGCACCACGCGGGTTATGTGGTTTGAAGTTTATATCTGAATGTTGGATCCAAGTCCTCAACAATCCTCGACATTAAAGGATTGGATTCTCGAGTCTCCAACACGCGAGTGATGGCAGGAGGAGGAAAAGAGTGAGGTGGAAAAGTTTTTATCTTAAGCTTTATGGCACGTGATTGGACTAGCGCAGTCACATGACCATGTCCTTTTGTATCGAAAATTTCCGCGCAAATTGGAGACTTTTCTTCTTTACACTTTTCCGAACGCATAATCAACCGCCAATTCCTCTATCATAGGATGGTTGGTCATATTGGCGTACTAGAAGATATTCCTGGCTATCATTACGACTTCTCGACGGCTCCGAAAAGGCTTCGGCCTTTAGGCGCATTGGTAGATGCGAGTCATTGGTGTCCGGACATGCCATTTTATTTTATAGCATTAATATACGTGATCTTTTAACTTCACTTTTACACCGTACAAGCCTAGGCCCGAGCCTATAAACCTAGGAATTCTAAAGTGTTCTAGAAGATCGGGCCTAGAGAAAACACTATGCCGGAAGAAACACGGAACGAATCGATATAGTAGAATGAGATTGTCAACTCAACCTTGGAACAGTTAAGCTAAACTCTTCAGATCCTGACTTCTCTACTCTACCCCAGGGCTCTTTCTTTACTCTTTGTACTCCGCATACTCCGTAGTGCACATATATGTCTCATTTGGAATGATCTGCCCCTCGGACGTCAATTGACCTCTTCTCCGCCCTGGGAACCAGAATTCTTCCCCTATTCCACTCTGTATTACTGCCACTCCTTCTAATTATTTATTCTTGTAATTATTTATTCTTTTTTGCATCATGGCTCCCGGCATAAGCAAGCGCGAACAGGCGCGGAATGAAAAGACTCTGGCGGAGCTGATCCGGACCGTTCCTGGCAATGACCGATGTGCCGATTGCGATGCCTTGACCCCAGGTTCGTCCCCTAAAGACCTTTATTGTTGATCTCACTAATTCTTACTTGAATAGGATGGGCAAGCTGGAATGTATGTCGCCGCTTCTTTTTACCTTCGATCGAATCCACAAACTGACTGTTCATCTCCGACAGATGGGCATCTTCCTTTGCATGCGCTGCGCCGCACTGCACCGAAAGCTGGGCACGCATATCTCCAAGATCAAATCTTTAACCATGGACACATGGACATCAGAGCAAGTTGATGTGAGCACAATCCGACAACCCGCAATAGCAAAGGTCATGAACTGACAAAGTGGACTTTTATCACCTGGGCAGAACATGAAATCGCACGGTAACATCCTTATGAACAAAATGAACAACCCACGGGGTATCAAGCCGCCAATTCCCACCGACATTGACGAGGCCGATGCATGCATGGAACGGTTTATCCGGCAGAAATATCAACACCGTTCGTTGGAAAACGGGAAGCCAAAGCCCCCGAGTAGGGAGGATTCAAGTTACTCCTACCCTAGGGCTTCGTCCCCGTGGAGTCAAGAAAGAATGACTATAACGTATCTCCTGAGGGTTCTCCTCCTCCACTTCCGCCCAAGTCTGGAAGATTTTTCAAGTTTGGTCTACGATCGTCATCCTCTACCTCGAACCTCCGCCGATTTGGTGGTAAGCCCAAGGTGACTTCGCCAACCACGGACGATGGAGCTTGGTCACCACCACCATTGCAATCCAGAAAGACGACAGGACTTGGTGCGCCTGTGGCCGATGTAACAACAGCATCTTTCGAGTCCAAAATGGCGGCATTGCAGCAGATGGGATTCACCAATGACCGACGGAACGAGATGGTCCTCAAAGGACTCCATGAGGATCTGGATCGAGCGGTCGAAACACTGGTCAGGTTGGGTGAGGGGGGTAGCCCTGCATCAAGATCCAGGACCCCGGCCGGGACAAGCAGTGGTGCATCCGCACACGTTGTAATCCCGAAGCCTGAGACCTCCAAAAACCCATTCCCCGTTAAAACCGACAATACCTTCCCTGAGGTTTCCAACAACCCATTTGACCGAGCAGTCTCGAATCCTGTGGCCCCGTCGCAAGCCCAGCAACCACAGACCACTGCGTACAACCCATTCGATCAGATGAACGGGAAGCCGGCATCTACACAGCCTTTAGAGTCATCTTTCCAGGGCCTGCAGGTTTCCCAGCCCTTGTTTCCCCACTCCACTGGTGGGTACCCAAACCAGACAAGCTCCATGCAGCACTCTCTACATCAGCAGTCCTATACGCCTCCGGTCACTGCGACATTCGCGCAGTCTCCCTATGTTACGTCGCCTCAGCCAATGGACAACAGCTACAATCCATTCGATCAGGCACCACCGCAGCCGCAGGGCGGCTTGGCTAGCCAGACATATCCCAACCCTAATGCCCCGCAAACGAACCCTTTCTTCAACACTGCGCCACAGAATCAACCCATGCAGCCGCAACAGCAGCAAATGAACCCGCTGATGACGAAACCAGGCGGCTTTGAGCCCCCCTCGTCATGCAAATACCATGCCGGTCATGTCCTCTTCCTCGCCATTTGGACTAACTGCTCCATCCCAAGTACAGCAGCAGCAACCACAGATGCAGATGCAGCCGCAGATGCAGCCCCAACAGCAACAGCAGCAGCCATCAAATGGCCTGGGAGCTTACAACCCGTTCCAGCAAGGGCCGGCGCCGAACACAGCGCAGAACACAGGCGGCTACCCCAACCAATTCCAGTCTCACCTGCAACCACAGCCACAGCAGGCGCAGCAACTCATGCCCCAGCGTACTGGAATGGACAAAAACAGCATTCTTTCCTTGTACAATATGGGTCCCGCGCAGTCTAACATGACAACCATCGCCGAGCAACCTCAGCAACCTCAGCAACCTCAGCAACCTCAGCAATCCCAGGCCCCACCTCCCTCGATGAACCCTTACGCCCAACCATCAAACCCGTACACCTCCATGCCTCATACCCAGCAATCCACAAACTTCCAGAATCAACACCAGAGCCAACCCCAGCCCCAGCAAAATTTCCAGTCCCAGCAACCTACTGCCAACACCCAGCCCACCACATCCAACAACCCCTTCTTCGGCACCGCTCCCACAGGCAGTGGATCCGGCCTTGCCGCACAGGCCGGCATCAACACGTATCAGCAGCAATCCACAGGACTCGGAATTGGCGGCATGAACGACCAACCCGGGGCCGGAACTACCACCGGGACTACTCAGTCCACAGGGACGAACAACTCCCATTCTCGGGAATGAGTAGTCCGCCCTTTGCAGGAGCGAACAGTTCTCCATTTGCAGGGGCAAGTCCCCCTTTTCAGGCCCACCGCCCACGAACTCAGCATTCCCACGAACGCACATGAGCCAGCCGAGCGTTGATGTGAGCGGGCTGCAGAATGGCCGCCATAGCCCCGATGCCTTTGCTAGTCTGAGTGCTCGCTATGGTTGAGTTCTTTGACTTTGGCCTTGGATAATACCTAGATAGATGGCCGGGCAATGTGAATATGGATATTGACATGGATATTGATATTGATTTTCATTCTGACTTTGACTTTTGTACTGATATAGAAGATTGACGAGACGTGTTGTGGTTGTGCATGTCTGGCGCATTTTCATTGTCTGTTGACGCTCGTTAGATCTTTTTTCCTTTTTTTTTGTCACATTCCCTGTTGTTACTTTCTTTGTTCATTAGAATATTCCTTTGGCTTCCGGTTAGCGAGTCAAATAGTACATAAATGTTTTGTCTTGTTGCATATGAGTTTCGAACTAATATATTACTGGGGAATCAAGACAGTTTATCGTACTGTAGATCTAGGGCTATATGTTCAAAGAGAAGCGAAGACACAAAAGGGAAAGAGTAAGGGAAGGAAGATCCGCAGCACCAAATATATAACGCGAAATAGCTGGCGACCAAAAAGCCAACTGAAAAAGGCCAGGAATCGATGATCTCAAGACCACAGTTCTGCCTCCGTAGGTCTCCTCTCAGCTCCGCCCAACCAAGACGGCAACACGGGAAGCCAATTGGACATCCAGGAAGGAAGCCAACTTGTCTTCTGCTTTGAGAATGACAACCTCGTTACAAATTTCTCCCAACGAGAAGCAGGACGCCAGGGCCAAGAAATCGATGATCTTGAAGGTGACGAGAAAAGAGCCTCCACTGAACGTCGCCACGACGCAAACAATGAAGGAGGCGACGAGGACCAAGGCATCGAAGACACATGGAGGCCCATCCATCCCTGCTTTCTTTGCTTGCGCCCCTCATTCTTGAATGCTTCCACGATACGATCGAATTGCTTATCTCGGCTTTGCCGCAATTGGCGTTCGGTGTTGGAGCGCCAGGCGTCCTGCTCGGCTGTGTCCAGGCACCAGACTACAATGTCGCCGCGACGGCGCCAGTCATCATGCCAGGCGGTGTTGAATGTGCGCCAGCACTCACCATAGTACGAGCCGCGCAGTATGGGGTAGAGGGTTGGTTCGAGCTGGGCGAAGAAGATGAGGTAGTCGGGCCATTCATGTTGTGGGGCCTTATTGGGGGTTTTTTCTGATACAGAATCATGTGCGGAAGAGGCGTAGCTTGGTCGTCGAGGGATGTGTCGGAGACCGCCAGCCATGTTCTGGCGTAGAAATTGGAATGGGTCGTCGTAGAATTGGTCTGCTTCGTCTCGGTAAATGGCTTTCTGGGTTGCATTGAGATCAATTGGTGGCTCGCAGGAAAGGGCCCAGGCGTTAATTGTTGGGTAGACAAGATGAGAGCGCCAGGGTGTGCTGTGGCAGGGCATTAAAAAGCCAGCAGAGATTCCGGTTTCTGAGACGGAGTTTTGTCTCTTTGTTGGTACAGAGTGTGCTTCGTGCTGCTGACGGAGATAGGAGAGGACCCTTAGTGTTCCCGACGCGTGATAGAGAGTTGTATATAGCGCAATGACCACATTTACAAGCACAAGAAAGATGAGAATCAATCTCCGGGGTGTATGACGCGGGTATGCCGGCGAGTAGATGGCTGGGTAAGAGAACTGCACTAAAGGCGGCGCAGCCAATATGTGCAGGCAGGGCAGCAATGGGTAGATGAAGCGTACTTCCTTGTGAGAGATCAAAGAGAGGACGAATGGCATCAGAAGGCAGACAGTCGCCAATTGCACTCGGATCGCCGCCTGCAAACTGTCTCCCACTGTGGACTTCCGAGTCGACAAGGTTCCGTATAAACCAATAATCGCAAAGGGCAGAAGAGTAGTGAGTAGAAGCGGATAGCCCTGTGAGATGTAGTAATGCCAGTCATTGCTGCCATAGAAGACAGCCAGCGACTGCGCAATGTTGAAGTATAGGAACCTCAGCGGTGGGAAGGTCCAAATTCCATAGAACAGACGGTCCGCAACGGAAGACACCGCGAGAATTGCCGACCTGCCAGATCGAAAGGTCAGCTGGCCCCTTGTCAGGAGGACGGATCACTTACCCGCAAACTATGACTTCAAAAATGAGGATCTTGCGCTGGGGCCAAGACGTCCGAAGCCAAGCGAGGCCGGCCAGAGTTGCCCAGACGAGAATGTTGGTCGGCCGCAGTATACATGCGAGCGCCGCCAGCGGCAGGCATTGGTGGAGGCTGCAGGCAGCGTCAGTGGCTGTTGTCACAAAGTTGGGAGGTCCAGTCATACCCAACAATCACACTTCGATCCCGGTCCGTGCCCCTCACTTGATTGCTGGTGTTTTTGTCGCGGCCATCGCCGGCTGTAGAGCCTGCCGACCACTGCCATGGCCATAGTTCCAATGCAACGATGGTGAGTGTAGTTTCAAGACAATTCGACAGGGTCCTCAGTAGAGCAGAACCATTGCCAAGGATTTAGGACCGTTGCGACCAGCTGTTGAACAATTAGAATGCGCTCTTTCCCGCCCAGAAAAATCCCCGAACACGCGACACATAATCACATACCGTTGTCCAGGATCCACGAGAATCATCTCCATAGACGCGAACTGCGAGCTTCCATGTGTAGAAATCACCAATTGCCGCCACAACGGCCTGCGCTGTCTTTGGTGCGGCAATCAGGAGCTCTGCGCGCGTAGCGGGCGACACGCTGAGGGCGGAGGCGAGGAAATCGGCTGCTTTATAGAGAGCGGCGAAGAAGAGAGGATGTAGTGAGGATCGGAGTTGGTGCCGCCATTCCTAGGACAGGTTAGCCAAAGCCATGTGTTGACGCGATCGCATTCACTTACCCATGTCACCCAGGCCCCTTGGCCTTGACCGAACGCGATCTGCCAGGCTGGCTCCAGTGACTGAAAGTATTCATCTGGTTGAAAAAAGGTCCGAACTGCGAACGCGTTGACGAGACGGAAGGCGATGAGGAAGAGGAGTATGTTTTGAGTGGGCGCGCGGGGGATTTGAGGTGTTCGCAGAGAAATTGGTTTAGACATGATCAAGGGTAAGATGATTGTAAATACTCATTCATTCCCTCGTACATTGCGACTCAAGTATGTCTGATTTCGCAAAGCGCAATGAACAAAGGAGAGGGCGGTAGAGGATCTCCCCGAGGTTCGACTCGACTCGAATTGCCCTGAACTGCCCTGAACTGCCCGAATATCTTCTTTGTCTCATCTTTTCAATTTTTTCAATTTTTCGTATTTTGTTTCAATTATAATTGTTCTTTGTTTTAGTATAATCTTTATTTGTTTATATCTCTACTACCTAGGTAGTAACGTTCAAGTATATTTTTCTTCTCCTTCAATAACCGAAGTATGACGGGCATTTCTACTGGTCTCTCTCTCTCTTCTTTTTTTAAGCTGAATTTAATTAGACCAATAATTAATACCTGGAACTTGATCCTCAAGCATATAGAACCAATGAACGAATCAGAAATCGCGGTTATCCAAGCCAATGGAGCCGTGTAGGGTAATCCTGCGCATAGGGAACAGCATCGGCACGACCTGTACTTAGCGGACATCCCGTCTAACAAGTCTAACACTTAACGGCATAGCGGCTGTACAAAGGGAAAATTCCCCTTACTTATATAACTATCTCTTGTCTTCCGTTTCTTTTTGGAATTTCTTTAAATTTTTCTTCAATTTGAATTCCTCATCTTCCCTTCTTTACCCCAGTGCCGATCCTCCGTTTACCTCCAACTTCCCCCCAACTTCTTAGCTCTCCCCGCAATCCACCATGGCTTCTAACGGGTCTTTCTCCCACTACCACGCCGCCTCTTCGGCTGAGGCTATTGAGGCTGAGCATGAATATGCTGCCCACAACTACCACCCTCTCCCTATTGTTTTTGCCCGGGCTCAGGGTACTTCGGTCTGGGACCCCGAAGGTCGTCACTACCTTGACTTCCTCTCCGCCTACTCTGCTGTGAACCAAGGCCACTGCCACCCCAAATTGATTGCCGCACTGGTAGACCAAGCTTCGCGAGTAACTCTAAGCTCCCGTGCATTCTACAATGACGTTTTCCCTCGCTTTGCCAAGTTCGTTACCGGCTACTTTGGCTTTGACATGGTGATGCCCATGAACACCGGCGCCGAGGCTGTTGAGACGGGTATCAAAATCGCCCGCAAATGGGGATACAAGGTCAAGGGCATTCCGGAAAACAAAGCCGTTATCTTGAGCGCAGAGAATAACTTCCATGGGCGTACAGTAAGTGAATTGTGACCCCTCCCCTGTTACACCAGGTACATCAGTGGCTGACTATGATGACCCCTTGCATTAGTTCGCCGCCATTTCCCTATCTTCCGATCCCGAGTCACGCGAGAACTACGGCCCTTATCTGCCCGGTATCGGATGCACGATCCCGGGAACTGAGAAGCCCATCGCCTACAATGACAAGGCAGCTCTACGTGAGGCGTTCGAGGCCGCCGGCCCCAACCTCGCTGGTTTCCTCATCGAGCCTATCCAGGGTGAGGCAGGCATCGTTGTCCCCGACGAAGACTACCTGCAGGAGGCCCGGGCACTTTGCGACAAGCACAATGTGTTGCTGATCTGCGATGAGATCCAAACCGGTATCGCGCGCACGGGTAAGTTGCTGTGCCACGAGTGGAGCGGCATCAAGCCCGATCTTGTCTTGCTCGGCAAGGCCATCTCCGGTGGTATGTACCCGGTCTCTTGCGTGCTGGGTAGAAAGGACGTCATGCTCACGATTGAGCCCGGTACCCATGGTTCGACCTACGGCGGAAACCCACTTGGTTGCGCCGTTGCTATTCGCGCTCTTGAGGTCGTGCAGGAGGAAAACATGGTCGAGCGTTCGGAGAAGCTCGGCCACTTGTTCCGGGATGGGCTGCTGGCTATCCAGAGCCCGATCATCCAGACAGTGCGTGGAAAGGGTCTGCTCAATGCCATCGTCATTGATGAGTCGAAGACGAATGGACATACCGCTTGGGATCTGTGTATGTTGATGAAGGAGAAGGGTTTGTTGGTATGTATTCGAGTCTCTACTTGTTAAGTTCGATTCGGACGCTGACTTCCATTTTTCCAGGCCAAACCTACCCACCAGAACATCATTCGGCTTGCTCCTCCGCTGGTCATCACGGAGGAGGAGATCCAAAAGGCCCTCGACATCATCAAGGAGGCCGTGACAGACCTGCCCAACCTCAAGGGCGCATCCGAGGACAAAGTTATCCCTCCCCGGAGAAGAAGGTCAAGATTGGTCTTGAGAACTAGATGCGTCTATAAAGAGCGGGACCTCCGCAGGTCCACAGATCACAGTCGCAACCCAAAAAGCCGCGTATCATATTATCTGGGTCAGGGCTGGCTACTTGAGATTCCCATTGGACACAAGCTTGAGATGACCGAAATGTGCTTGAGACATTTTCCAACAGTCTGCTTGTTATCCCACGACGCAATGACGGATGGCTTTCCTTTTTTCCTTTTTATCTTTTCGGGGGCAAAACTTGTATGCCATAGCAAAGAATAGATCATAACAATTTGGATTTTGAACACAGTCTGCTAATGAATGAAGCTGACTTTGGCTAATACCCATAGTAATAGGTACTACTTACCTACCTAGGTAGTAAACAAGCCCCTCCAGCCCTGGAGGGCTCCTGGGCTCCAAATAAAGATTACTAATCCCAAAGTCGGCGAGCGGAATCTACCAACCCCGCGATGCCGACTGCCGACTTGACAGGGCCCGGGTTTCCTACGGAGTACCTACCTACCTAGGTAGGTAGGTAGATAGTGAATTTCTAAGCGAATGCATGTGTTTTCCTTGGTTTTCTCTCCGACTTTTGACTTTTATGTATCATGACAGGCCCAATAAGCCCGACCTTGGGGTGCTTAGCCCTGTTTGGTGGATATCATATAAGGGCTCGGACATCCGTGTCCGACTTTTTCAATACTCCGTTCGCATTGTCATATATCTATAAGTCATTAAAGCCCCCTGTAATCTCCGGAGTTCGATATCTCTCAATTCATAATCCCCCGAGCCCTCCAGGGCTTAATTAATTCCTAATCCCCGACATTATCTCCGCCTTCCGCATTCAGCATCTCGTGGTTGTCCCCACATCGATTCTATTACTTCCACTTTTTTTTTTTCATATTCAATTTCCGGGACACTGTCCAGCTGAACTGGATTCAAATATCCGAAGTCCAGCATGTCCACGCCCCAGCCGCTACATGAAGTAGTGGTGGCGGATGACAAGCTCCAGGGCAATACCTTGAGATCAGTATCCGACGAAGCGGACGTGCAGCCTATGCAAAAGAAAAAATGGTATCGCAGACTTAATCCGCTGCGATTGCAAAAGATACCTCCGGTACCGACAGAGCGATCTGTATCGCATGAACATGGCGCTTCGATTTTCAGCATTATTTCCTTCCAATGGATGTCTCCGTTGATGAAAGTGGGATATCTACGTCCACTCGAATTGCAGGATATCTGGACTGTCAATCCCAACAGAGCCGTTGACGTATTGTCCGGCCGATTAGACGCCGCATTAGAGAAGCGCACTGAGAGTGGTATTAAGCGCCCGCTTCTCTGGGCGTTGTACGACACGTTCAGATTTGAATTTCTGCTCGGCGGCATCTGTCAGCTTTTCAGTTCGCTGTTGCTAGTATTCGCGCCGTACTTGACTCGGTACCTGATTGCTTTTGCGACGGAGGCTTATGTCGCACAAAAGGCTGGGCACCCTGTGCCTCACATTGGCAAGGGTATGGGGTTCGTCGTTGGTATCACCTGCATGCAGGCACTGCAGAGCTTGTGCACGAATCAGTTCCTGTATCGGGGTCAGGTTGTTGGTGGGCAGATCCGTGCCGTGCTTATTTCTCACATATTTAACAAGGCTATGAAACTATCTGGTCGTGCTAAGGCAGGAGGGCAAGCTACCCCAGAAGAAGCCAAAGCCTTGGAGGCAACGAAGGATGCTCTTTTAAAGCCGGAAGAGAAAGGGAAGAAACCGAAGCCTGATAATGCGCTGCCTGCACCTGGTGGAGTTGCAGGTGATGGCCGCGGATGGAATAATGGTCGCATCACTGCTCTCATGAGCATTGACGTGGACCGAATTAACCTGGCTTGTGGCATGTTCCATATGATTTGGACAGCACCCATCTCCATTATAGTGACACTGATCCTTCTCTTGGTCAACATTGGCTACAGTTGCTTGTCTGGTTACGCACTGCTGGTAATCGGAATGCCATTTTTGACTTTCGCTGTGCGATCCTTGATCACCCGACGACGGAATATCAACAAGATTACCGACCAACGTGTATCTCTCACCCAGGAAATTCTGCAAGCTGTGCGATTCGTGAAGTTCTTTGGTTGGGAGAGCAGCTTCCTCGGCCGTCTGAAAGAGATCCGCGGACGAGAAATTCGATCCATCCAGACGTTGCTTGCGATCCGAAACGGCATTCTCTGTGTGTCGATATCTATTCCTGTTTTCGCCTCGATGTTGGCTTTCGTTACCTATGCGCTATCAAATCATGACTTGGATCCCGCGCCGATTTTCTCTTCGTTGGCGCTGTTCAATTCCCTGCGGATGCCGTTGAACATGCTGCCACTGGTTATCGGTCAAGTGACCGATGCTTCGACTGCTTTCAATCGAATCCAGGAGTTCCTACTCGCCGAAGAACAGAAGGAAGATATCGAGCGGGATGAAAACATGGAGAATGCGATCGAAATGGACCATGCTTCGTTTACCTGGGAACGCCTTCCGACAGACGAAAAGGATGCAGACAAAGCCGAAAAGAAGGCAGCTGCACGCCCTGAGCCAACAGAGAAGTCAACACCTGAAGACGACACCGATGAAACTCCCACAGAGCCATTTAAACTCAAGGACATGACCTTCGAAGTTGGCCGACATGAACTGTTGGCCGTAATTGGAACAGTCGGTTGTGGCAAGAGTTCCTTACTCTCGGCTCTGGCGGGCGATATGCGTGTGACTGATGGCACTGTACGTCTGAGCACCACACGCGCATTCTGTCCCCAGTACGCCTGGATTCAGAATACCACTGTGCGCAACAATATTCTATTTGGGAGGGAATATGATGAGACTTGGTATGAGCAAGTGATTGACGCATGCGCTCTGACCCCAGATCTCGAGATTCTACCGAATGGAGATCAGACCGAGATTGGAGAACGAGGTATCACTGTGTCTGGTGGACAGAAACAGCGTTTAAATATCGCCCGAGCCATATATTTCAATGCAGAACTAGTGCTCATGGATGATCCTTTGTCAGCTGTCGATGCACATGTCGGTCGTCACATCATGGACAAGGCAATTTGTGGCTTGCTCAAAGATCGGTGCCGAATCTTGGCGACACATCAACTCCATGTTCTCAGCCGATGTGATCGAGTTATTGTTATGGATGAGGGACGGATCAATGCGGTTGATACATTCGACAACCTGATGCGCGACAACGAGGTCTTCAAGCGGTTGATGTCTAGTTCTCGACAGGAGGATATGCAAGAGGAGGAGGAGGAGGAAGAGGCGGTGGACGAAGCCGTGGATGAAACAGACGAAAAGGAGCCAAGTCCCAAGAAGGCCGCCCCAGCAAAACCCGCCGCAGCCCTGATGCAGCAAGAAGAAAAGGCCACTGAATCCGTCGGCTGGAGTGTCTGGAAGGCCTATATCAAAGCCTCCGGCAGTTATTTCAATGCAATCATTGTATTCATCTTGCTTGGCCTTACCAATGTCGCCAACATATGGACTAGTCTGTGGCTGTCCTACTGGACTTCTGACAAGTATCCGGGGCTGTCGACCGGCCAATATATTGGAATCTACGCTGGACTGGGTGGCAGTGTTCTTCTCTTCATGTTTGCCTTCTCGACTTATATGACCACCTGCGGTACGAATGCTAGCAAGACTATGCTTCAGCGTGCGATGTCTCGTGTGCTCCGCGCGCCTATGGCTTTCTTCGATACTACACCACTTGGACGAATCACCAACCGCTTCTCGAAGGATATCCAGGTGATGGATAATGAACTTTCCGACGCGATGCGTATCTATGCGCTGACAATGACAATGATTATCTCTGTGATGGTCTTGGTCATAGTGTTCTTCTATTACGTGAGTACCCTTCCCTTGGAATTCCTTGGGTATTCGTGACAATATTTGCTAACCCCCTTTAGTTCGTCATCGCACTTGTCCCGCTCTTCATACTGTTCCTTCTAGCTTCGAACTATTACAGAGCATCCGCCCGCGAGATGAAGCGCCACGAGAGCGTCTTGCGATCAATGGTGTATGCTAGGTTCGGCGAAGCCATCACAGGAGTCGCATGCATTCGAGCATACGGTGTGGAGAACCAATTCCGCCGCACCATCCGAGACTCGATCGATATGATGAACGGGGCCTATTTCCTCACTTTCTCCAATCAGCGTTGGCTCAGTGTCCGACTCGATGCAGTGGCGACCCTATTAGTTTTCGTGGTCGGTGTTCTGGTCGTCACTTCTCGCTTCAATGTCTCTCCCAGTATCTCTGGGTTGGTGCTGTCTTATATTTTGGCTATCGCACAGATGCTTCAGTTCACGGTTCGTCAACTGGCCGAGGTTGAGAACAACATGAACGCCACAGAACGTGTTCACTACTATGGTACTCAGTTGGAAGAGGAGGCGCCTTTGCACCAGGCCGAGGTGTCACCCAGCTGGCCCGAGAAGGGCCACATCGAGTTCAACAGCGTGGAGATGCGCTACCGGGCTGGCCTTCCACTCGTGCTGCAGGGGCTTACTATGGACGTGCGAGGAGGGGAGCGCATCGGGATTGTCGGTCGCACCGGTGCCGGCAAATCGAGTATCATGTCCGCACTATTCCGTCTAACTGAACTATCTGGAGGTAACATCAAAATTGACGGCATCGACATATCCACCGTCGGCCTCCACGACCTTCGATCCCGCCTTGCCATCATCCCCCAAGACCCAGCCTTATTCAAGGGCACGATCCGCTCTAATCTTGATCCGTTCAACGAGCATAATGATCTCGAGCTATGGTCCGCGCTGCGCAAGGCGTATCTCATCGGCCAAGAGCAAGAACTCGAAGGCGAGGAACTTCCAAGCGGGTCAGGCAGCGGAACCACGACCCCAGTCACAGGCAGTGACGTGAAATCCCGCCCATTAAACAAACTCACCCTCGAATCGCCCGTCGACGATGAAGGCCTGAACTTTTCCCTCAGGCCAGCGGCAGCTGATGGCCCTTGCCCGGGCGCTGGTCCGCGATGCACGTATCATCGTCTGCGACGAAGCTACCTCTTCCGTTGACTTTGAGACGGACCAAAAGATTCAGCACACTATGGCTCAGGGCTTTGATGGAAAGACTTTGCTGTGTATCGCGCATCGCTTGCGCACAATCATCCACTACGATCGCATCTGCGTTATGGATCAGGGTCGGATTGCTGAGATGGATGCACCGGTTGCATTGTGGGATAAGGCAGACGGTATCTTCCGTGCCATGTGTGAACGCAGTGGAATCACACGCGAGGACATTCTCAGCACTGACTGAGATGATGTTTCAAAAGCTAGTATATAATCTCCAGATATCATACATACAAAATAGTAAGGCACATTAAATGTGACTATTAATACATATCATCTTTCCATTCTGCATTTACATTATTCTCTATAGAATATCAAGAACCAGATCACACCTTGTCTAATTCACAAACCAATTCCATCCCCAAATTCCGCATCATCCCCTCAACCCCGGCCTCCCTCCACCCAACAAGATCCCTCTCATCCAACCGCACCATCTCTTCCTCCTCTGACAGCGCCCCAACAGGCAATCCAGTAAACTTAACCGGCAACCCAGGCGCCGTCCCAACAACCCTCATCCGCAACCCGGTTAAAACACCACGCAGATGATCCGCCGCCTTCCACCCACCCCGCCCTCCATACGAAACAATCCCCGCCGGCTTCCCCTTCCACTCAAAGAACAGATAATCAAGGGCGTTCTTCAGACTCGCCGGAATACTCCAGTTATACTGCGGCGTGACAAAGATAAAGGCATCGTACTGCCGCACTACGGCGGACCATGCGCGCGTGTGCGCTTTGCTGTAGTGCGGGGTTGGGTCTGCGGCTGGTAGGCTGGCGGGGATGACGGATTCGTCGTAGAGGGGTAAGGATTGATTTGCTAGATCGAGAATCTCAAGGGTTATGTGGCGCGGGTCTGTGTCGGGTGTTTCGTTGTGGTTTGTTGGGATCATCGGGTCTGAGGTGAGGACGTCATAGACGTACTGCGTTATCGTGGGGTTGAGGCGGGGACTGCGCGTGCTGCTGGTGACTATCGCGACTCGTTTGGGGGGCATTTTGAATGTATATGTACCTCCTGGGAGATACCGAGGATAATTGTTTTAAAAGAGGATTGTGGGAGTTTATTTTTTCGGGGTTGCGGACATAGTAGGTCGGCTCGGAGATTTCAAGGTTTGATATAAATAAACTATGACGATGTTCGTCTTTCTGACAAATATACAGCTTACATAGATAGTACTGTTAGATTAATATAGTATATAACTAAAATAAAAGAATGGTAGGAAACATCGAAAAGCCACTGTCATTCTGGATTTCAAATAAAACAACCCAAGATCCAACAACACCTGTCTAAGGGAACAGACCTCAGCTACTGGCTTCTGTCTTACTGCTCAATACCAGAAACCATGACTATATACCCAATAATCAAGCACAAGACATAAAGCAATGAGTCTGCCCCTGCGTGCCTATCTCTTCTAGCGCGGAATCCGGCCTCCGCAACCAATTAGCCAGCATGTTAGTACAATGATCAACATGCTCCAGATCCGCAAGCATATTATCCAGACGAGCACCACGCATGTGGACATCAATGGCCTCGTCGAAGAAGATACAGACAATGAACCAGATGCTCACGGACAGCAGTCCAGTAGAAGTCCGGGTTATTGCCGAGTTCAGTGTAGTCCTTCATCTGCTGTGTGGCGGCCTCATCATAGAAATAGACAAACGGCTTTCCGTTGTTGAAATGCGCAAACTCATCCGTGAAGTCATGCGGACATTCTTTGTGCAGCCAGCAGCCGGCAAGAGGATCGTAGGCGCAGCCGAGGGCTTCGGCCTCCTTGGTTGAGTTGCCGCACGAGTATCTTACTCGTGGAGCTGGTGGCAGACACTGTCTTTTTCCTTCGAGTGATTCGGGTATGCGAGTGAGTCAGATGATGGACCTTTTACGACAAGGACTTTGCGGAAGGGTTCCACGGCGATGGCTGTGATCACGGCGATCGCCAGGAGTAGCAGGATCACGAGCAGGCCGGTGATGGTGATTGCAGCGAGGTTTCTTTTCAAAAACTGTTGAATGCCTCGCCGGGGTGGTCTGCTTGTGATAGTGGCATCGCTGTCACCATCGGCATCCGATTTGGCAACGGGGTCGTAGTCACGAGAGAAGACTCTGTCCATCATGACAGGATTAGCGAGTTCCAGCGTGTAGATTTTCCGTTGATCGAAGAGAAGAGAAAGATATCTTTTCTGGGGGAGAAATCCAGCTGCACATGATGCTCATTGAGACTGTGTTCTTATTCACGTCGGACTCGGGACAAAGAGTAGATGCACAGGTAAACATTATACATGGCCCGATATAGATGTCAATAAGACTCAAAAGAAATAAACCAATCACAGTTGATTATTAAATAGAGGCTATGTCCGAATGAAGAGTTCAATAAGAGAGACTACTGAAAAAGTGGTTGGGTCCAAAACAAAGAAACCATCGAAACCCGTCAGCAACGCCATTTTGAAAGACGTCTGCCGTTTATACTCTCTCATACCTCCATGGACTGACAAGAGCGCTTCATATTTAACATAAATGTATTGCTGAATGCAACTATAGAAAACTAAAATATATCTGCTGGACTGGCGCAATATTGAAATATCCAACAAACCCAGGGCATATTCACAAATTCCCGACAAACGATTCTCAACAAAAAGCGATTTACAACAAGAATGAAAAAGCAAATGTACGAAGCTAGCACAAAGCCAACTTCAGACTCTAGACCTGACACCAATCTAGACAACGAAGACAGTCTGGTTGAGAGACTCCAAGAATGCAGAAGGACCAGCCTGCAATTTAACAATCAGCATACTTGATTTCCAACAAATGTAAGAGATCTACTTACACCAATCAGAGCCGCATGGGCGACATTAATCTGGCTTTTGCCAAGGGTAGCCGAGGCTGGCACGGTGACTGTGAAGTTCTCATACGGGGGCAGGCTGGACTCGTGGTACTCGGGCTTGAAAGACCCGTTGTATAGAATTGTTCCGAGAACCTCATCTGCGTCTCTGCAAGGTGAGGATTCACATGAGGAGAGGCCGATTGCTAACCCCATCTCCTTGGACGGACTCAGAGAGTTCTAAATGATAGATTAGTTAGTATAAGGGGTTTCGGTAACTAATTGGAAAAGCTATGCAGCTTGGACGTTAGAACTTACGGGACGCTGCACTTGAATGACGACTTCCTCGCCAGAATTGATTTTCTGATTCTCGGTAGGGAGTCCAATTGTGGCTCTCTGGGCAATGGCCGCGGCGATGAAGAAAACCATGGGGAAGAAGGACTTCATTTTGACTGGGAAGGGGAAGGACAAAGAGTTATAGAGTGGGAACGTGGTGGTAAGATGAGAAGATGGTATAAGATGTTCCGCTATATGGAGATTTACAAGATGCGATTATTCTGGGGTATTCCCAAGGTTATATGCTCAAAATCTGGAGGAAGGGTCAGCCCTAGCGATGACCCTTGGATTCTGAAAGTTTCGAAGATGGTGATTGGTCGAGTCTCTGCAAGTTTCAGATACAGTTCAGGGAAGCCACGGACAGCCGCCTGACGCTAAGGTCAATCGGGAATCTAAAGTGGAAATCCCCTTGCATCAATATCGGAATAAGTAACCTGACTGGGGTCTCACCTTTAAGTCAATTATGAATTCAGGTTTGGTTTCAAATCTGTCCCTGATATTATTGGTGAGGTTTTAAGGGTGCGGCTGTCTCACATATGACCTCAGCCCTTGAGCTGGAGCAGTGACTCGGGAAGATCACTACAACATAGGGCTGCATAAAATGCATTAGTTAGCTGAGGTTGCTCTACACCACCCAGAATAGAATGATCTCTAGCGCGGAGAAATGAGGCTAGCCCGGCTTGTTCGGCCACAATCAAAGGTTGAGCATAACAAATCCCAATGAACTGGCAAGTGTTAATACAAAATGATAAAATGAGAGACTCCGGTAATAAATAACAAGTTAATATCCGACATCGGGTGATTGGGTTGAAATGCATAAACCCTTGCCTCGTTCTGAGAGGCTGCATGTGGCCCTTTAAGGCACACCATCGCCTTGGTTTTTCTGCCCATTGATAAAAGCAGAAATAAATGTGCACTAAATCGGAAAGGCGGAATGCGTTCAAGTGAACTGATCTATTGGATCACCAAAGTACGATAGGAAACAAGAAAAGACACTTCAGTTGTTCTCCTAGAGTTCTAGAGAAGAAAGAGAATCGTATCCCGTCCTTGTTCCCATTCTGGGCCTTTCTTTTGGGCAAACCTGACCTTTCTCATCCTTTCTCATCCTCCTCCTCAAGTCATCATTTTTACCACTGAGGGCATCCGAGTCGACGGAATTCAAACAAGAGGAAGCTCCTGTATGTCCGGTCCATCACCATTTCTCCCACGAGGTTGTTTGTTGTACGGAGGACCGACTCGATCCACTGATGGGTTTCCGGGTTCGCGGCGACAGCCGCAATCAAGTGTGTGAAGATGAGAACCTCAGCAAGATTAGGGAATCCAAGTCACGCGCATCGCAGTCAGAGCACGGCACCATCTCCTAAGAAACATATAGGGCGAGTCCGAGGTGTGGTACACAACGTTGCTCCATTCCATATACTCTCTGTAGCCGACATGATCAGGAGAGGGTGGTTCGGGTGGGGGTGGGGGCTCCACATCTTGGGAAGTTGTTTCAGAAGGGGACGGGTTCATATCCTAAGTTAATAAGTCAGGAACTGCCTGCTCAGAATTTCGACATTATTTGGTTCAGCTTCTTACACGATAAATAATGACAAGGTGTCCCCAGGATTGGATTTCCGTGATAGGATTGATAGGATGTGGAATGATTGAAGGTTGTTAATGAGTGGAGGGGTGATGGAAGAAATATGGTGAGTGAAGAAGATATGTGAGTGGAAAGTAAGTGGAGTAGATATCAGAAAGACAGTAAGTGAAGAAAAGACCATAGAGTAAATATAGTATTAAGGGATGTATATTAAGAAAATAGTGAGTAACATTGTAGACAGGCGCGCTAAAGCCGTATCAATATATAATTGGTATATTTCCAAGCTTGCCTGTCTCTGCTTACTTTATATCTTAGGGATTTTCGTTGGGGTCCTAGGTCATCGTTCCCTCATTATCATTTGATATCATCTATTTGTGGCGCAATAGAAAGCAAGCAAAGGGGTAAAATTCTCATAAATCAAGTGCAGAGTACAAGACAGAAAAGACAAAGGGAAAAGTGCAAGAAGCAAACGTTGGGACTAGCCTGGCTGCGTGTAAGTAGCCATTCCTGTCCTGACCCATCATGCATGCACGGAGTGGGAACATTGAAGATTTTCAAAACAAAACACATGTAGGGCAAGGAGATAACATCTTGGCAAGAGAATGTCAAAAGTGAATGCGGAGGATGAAAGAACGAACACAAATTGCACTGAACAGAACAGGGGCTTTAGCCTCCTCACGACAAGAAACAGATACTAAGACTCACCTGATTATTCAAAGCCCAGTTACCTCTCTGACAAGAATTCGTCTAAAGAGCCCCCGAGTCTTTGGTAAGTTGAACACGTCAATCATAGCTGGATCTCTTTCTTGGCCTCAAGAGCTGCTGCCAGACGCGCCTGCTTTCTCCTCCATTTTCTCTTGCGCTTCGTGTTCTGTGGGTTTCGAAAACATTCCTCAACAGGGTGCTTTGTGTGACGCTGGTGATAGGGACAGTATTGCTTGGGAAAACTTTCAATTTGATCAACATCAGAAACGGCAGTATGTAGGTGGCTCAAGACTGACTGTTGGTTTCCAAGTCGACATGCCTCAAACTCCAGGAAATCAGCGAAGGCTTCATCTAGTATCGATGCCGGCAGAGAACCTCTCTCGAACTGCAGCGACTCAACCCATGGAATGGTGTCGGGGTTCGCACTGACCGCTGCAAGGAACTGATTGAGGACGAAGACCGTGGGAAGATGTGGGGGTCCAAAGGCCTGCCTCATCTCTCTGAGAGCCCGTCTCCAAGCTTGCACAAATGCCTCAGGTGACTTCGATGAATAGTAGACAGTGTGGATCCAGTTCATGAATTTGCGATAAGCAACAAGACACTCACGAGATTTGTTCCCGGGGGTCTCAACAGGTTCGCCGGGATAGGAGGCTGCCATGCAAAAATTCGGGTGGTTGCAACCAGGGTTCACAGGAGGCGGGTCAAGGAACTGAGAGTGAGGAAACAAAGTACCCATCATTGGTTGGTCATACGGGGGAGGACCCGGTGGAGGACCCGGTGGAGGAGGATTTAACAAAGCAGGGTAAACTGGCGGCGGCCTGTAAGGGCCGTAAGCAACAGGGCTAGGACCAACGGTTGGAGGTCCGAAGTACTCAAGACCAAACTGAGCTGGAGCTGGAGCTGGAGCGACTAGATTCATGCCGAAGTAAACGGGTTCACCCGCAAATGCAGACTTGACATATTCTGCATCGACGAACATTTTGACTTCGGTGACTGTATTTGTGCGTGAGTTGGTCTTGATATCGTGCTCACTTTAGGGGATTTTGTCTTATGTATGACGGGTAGAGGTAAGAGGTAACAGTGTTTGATGGACGTAGACTGAACGCTAAAAAGGACATTAGCAAGTCGTAAGTTGAGTAGATGTAAAGGCGTTGTCAAAGATAAGTCGTTGAAATAAATACTTTGCCGATGCGTAGATAGATATCTGGTCAGGTCACAAGCCTGGTGGATGTGGTGTCGGGGTGTTGACAAAGGAGAGTTAGTTCAGACTGTTGAGGTCACCTTTATATGTAGGCAGATGTCTGGTCAGGTTAAAGGCTTGGTGAATGTGGTGTCGGGTTGATGACGGGCTAGAGTTGGTGCATGCTGTTGAGGTCGCTTTTATATGTAGGCAGATACATCATAGCCTTGTGTATATTGACCTTTCACCTGGACAGCAAAATTAAAGGTATGAAGTCGCTCAGGCTACCTAAGCACCTACATATATGTACCTATGTTGTAGGTAGGTAGCCAAAGAGCTTTGGTGGGCGAAAGTGGCCAAAATACCTAAGGCATAATAATGACAGGCAAGGGCACAATCCGAGTACAGCTGATAGAGAAATGAGATGAATCTTAGATAACCATAGTAGTATAAAACAATTTCAACATAGCCTGGCTATGTGAACAATTTGACCTCCCTAGATAGGCGCAATTCGACCAAATGCTTCTCAATACTGTTAAGAGGAATATGACGTCTTGTCATCTCACCTCCGTTTCATCAGACCTGGGTGGACCGAGACCTGAGATCAAGGAAGGCAGTGCTATTGATATACACTGGCAAACGTAGCCATATTACATCCCATTTAATCCACTTCATTTTCGTATGAGCTGGGTTTAATATATCTCGTGCTCCCGGGCTCATTTCTATATATATATTCCGCAAATGGTCGACGCCGAGCAACAGTCCCAGTACGAGGTCGGTCCTGCGTGTCAGATTTTCCTTGTTCTTCAGGCAGACAATCTGAGAGATCGAGACTTTTCTTCCTATGGGAATGGGTAGAATCCATGGTGTGGTTGTCCAAGCTTTGACCAAGATGTACAAGGGCGGCGCATCGAGGCCAAGGAAACTGTCGATATAATCGATATAATACTGACACCAATGGTAGTCTAGTGCAACGCCAGGAAATAACCTAGCTGTGTACCTTGGGTTAATATCACCTAAGCCTACTTAGGTATACCCGGGGCTACGTATCGTATTACCTACCTAGTTAGGTAGTGGGCTAAGACAATCACGTGGATGTCTTTTGCTCCGGTCAATGCCTCACGTCGCCTCTGTCATTGGAAGTTTGCCTTGTCACACTCTCTGGAATAAGCACCAATTGCATGAACATATCACATGAAGTATTGAATCTACATCTAGTACGGAGTACTCTGTAATTCGACTCAGCCCTTTCATCTGTACAAATGCGGCTAACGAGGTTCCGCATATAGTCCACTTGGTGATTGAGCCACAAAACCGTTCAGCCGGTAGTTGATTCAGGCACGGTATGTCACTGGGTCCATGTCACTGGGTCGGTTGGCTGGAAGGGGAAATTCGAAAGTCTGGTTCCGAGCAATGACTTCAACGAAAAGAGCTATTACGTGTCTTAGTACCGATTTCTGTGTGAGATATGTCAGTATTGCTGGATGCCCAGCATCAATTATACTTCGCAAACCTCGGCATTAATTGGCATCTTGGCTTTCCTATAAAGCCGAGATATGCGACCCGCATCGGGGAGCTGCATCAGAAGTATAACCACAAGGTGGTGATCGACATGAACTTCCATGGATGAATTTCCGGGTAACTTCCAGATAACTTCCAGATAACTTCCAGAAGTAAGGGCAATTTTGAATTAAGTTAGCTTCCAAGGTTTCATCCGGGTAGATTCCATGGCTCCTTGTAAGGAATCGGACTTACCTCGGAGAGTTTTAGGGCAGGGGTGTATGTAGTCACGGATGGAGGCAACCTTTTCCAAGGTTGGAAAAATGTAAGAGAAATGTGCCTTGGTACGGAGTACTGAGGTCGGATAATCTACTCCGTAATACGATATCATTCAATATCAAGCTGAGCCAATGAATCTCACATAGCCACATGGGAAAGAACGATGGGTGGAACCTGTCGTGATCTGATAGCCAGCCATTTTGGCACGTTCCACAACCCCCCTCCCCACATCAATATGTTCCAAGGTTACCTAGGTACGCTCATCACATTGTATTTTCTGTTTCTTAATATCATAGGGTCAAGCCTGGGAGTATATTTACTTTTCTGCCCGATACAATTCTATGGTCAAACATGCCACTTTTGTCCCTGGCCGATCTTTTTCTGACGGGATCCGCCCGATCGTCGTGCCCTCACTACATTACTTATCTCACCTTAGTATAACCACCTCTCGAGAGAATGAGTTCTTTCTCTCCTCGAGATTTCCAGGAGTGGGTAGATCGACGCCAAAGCACCACGTCTTCCTCCACCGTGTCGTCCGCGTCAACGGGCATCCTCTTCCCCGAGCCCTACGACATCACCAGGGTCTAGCTCGAGAAAGCAATCCTGGCAGTTCTACGATGATGTCGTGCGGCTCGAGTTGACACCTGCCGTGCAAATGTTTGTGCTGAGAAAAGAGTTCCTTGAGGAATGCGCTGACTTGTTGGTAGTTCCTTTGTCAAAAGCGGCCAGCTATTCAAGCTGAAATACACATTCATTGATATCTGCAAGGACTCAACGGGCGCATTAAGATGTCTCGAACTCGGGGGGGACTAGGCCAGCAAACACCTTTCATTCACGGCTGTGAGTTGTCTATATCTCCGAAGGATACATAACATGGCTGACTATTCAAATTCATGTATAGTCTCAAATACAAAACTACCGGTCCCCCACCTAGAACATCCAAAAACAGGCGACGATTACCCTCTTCGTGTGTCCTTTATGGACCAGCAAACTGTCCAGACGGGAAGCACGGTATTTATGACGCAGCTATCATATAAATTTGATCACTGGGATGGTACGCGACCGATAAACCTCAGAGTGAAAACCTTTGCTTACACCCGCAGATTGTGTACGATTTCAAGAACTGCTACTCGGCTCCAAGTTGATATTTATCGGCGGGATGGCTGAGGCCAAGTCCAAAGGCCGGGGTGAAGAGTGCATCAGCCAAAATCTTCGCATCCTCCGCGGGCATAACGGGAAACGGGTAATGCTGTTCTTTGCTAACTCGCAACGGAGGGAGCTCAAACGATACGTTTCCATACCCCGTGAGTTTCAGCCACATCCACTCTGTCACAGTGACGTTGCTAACGGCCCTAGTAAACTGCATCGCCTCAATTAAACCCCCCGAAGAAAGCCGGGCGACCAGCCCTACTTGATCTGAATCCGAACTTCGAGATTCTGTCTCAAATGAGAAATCTTACGGTTCAGTTTCTTGACGATGATGGTCAGTGCACATTTAAGTTTCTCTCTCTGGATGATTGGCTGATTCCTCTCTCTGCAGACTGCACAGCATTTTGTCAGATGTTGTCATACGACCTGACGATTGGATGAATAGTCCACGAGGGACAGATGCATATAAATCATATTTAAATGGAGTTGGAGTTGGTCAAATTGGGGGCCAGATATGTATTCATGTACATAATACCAAGATACCCCTGGGCGTTACATACTGTTGAGCATAGATCATTGTACGGAGTACGGAGTACATCCACGTGAAATAAATTAATTAATTTGGGATTCAACGTTAACAGATTAATTAGAATAAAATTAGAATATTAGAATATTAGAATATAGAATATAAAATATTAGGATTTAATTCCGCATTTTATCCAGCCACCTGCCCAGGCGAACATACGAGAAGTATAATAAAATAGCATTAATCCCAAGATTCTAGATGTCTCATCGAGCGAACAATTACCCTCGTGGTTGCCCATGTGGGTCAGCAAGTTGAACGTCGACAAGTCAAGCATCAGAGACGCTGCACGTGGAGAAAACACCCCCAAAGCTTTGGCTCGTTCCAAAAAGGTTTGCCGCTTAGCCCCGCATTAGCGTCTGCAGGGATCAATCTGTAACCTTTCCAAGGTTTACAAAACTTTGAAAGTCCCGGGTAGAATCTAAACATCTGACATTATATGAAATGTAGCTCATTTCACCTTTGAACTTTCAACTTTCTACTCTGTAGAAAGTAAGGTATTCACCATGGGCAAGTTCCACCACCGGTTGTATAAAACCGACCGTGCCAGGGACTTCGATCATGAGCAGGTATGGAATCCCCCCGCATGTTGATAACCATGGCATGCATACAAGATCGCTAACAGCTCTGTTGTAGGATCGATTTGTTCGCATGCGACAGATCTATGAGACTATCGACAGACAGAAGTTTCAATGGATTGTCGTGTTGGTCGCTGGTCTTGGGTTCTTCCTCGATGGTTACACAGTGCGTTTACCCCACGTTCCACGTGAAACACAATATATTGAAATGTCTTACTCTCCATACACGGCAACTGCTAATACGATATAGCTATTTGCCGGTAATGTGGCCATACCGATGATCTCCTATGTGTACTGGAGAGACGACACTTCCTCACTACGACTCACCGGCATCAATATCGCAACACTTGGTGGGACCCTGTTAGGGCAAGTGGCATTTGGTTTTCTAGCCGATAAAAATGGGCGGAAGAAGATGTACGGTGTGGAATTGGTACTCCTCATTACAGCCACCCTGGGTGTGGTCATGTCCTCGACAGGTGTGGACGGCAGCATGAACGTCTTCGCATGGCTTGTTTGGTGGAGAATCTGTGTCGGTATTGGAGTTGGCGCAGATTATCCACTCAGTGCAGTGATCACGTCTGAGTAGGTCGATCGATCTCGAAATCTTCAATCATGGAGAAACTGACCATGGAATGTCAGATTTGCCCCTACCAAGCACAGAGCCCGCATGCTGGCCACCGTCTTCTTCATGCAGCCACTCGGTCAGATCGCAGGTAACATTGTCTCCTTGATTGTCATCGCGGTGGCTCGCAGTAATAGCAGTCCGGGTGAAGACCTTACCCGCACTGTTGATATAATGTGGCGCTGGGTGATCGCCATTGGAGTCGTGCCCGGCGTAGTCGCTACTCTTTTCCGGTTCGCCATCCCAGAGAGTCCTCGCTACCTAGTCGATATCGTGGACGATCCCGTCACTGCGGAGTTTGATGCAACCACGCTTTTCAGTGACACGCCTGGTATAATTGATTCTGGGGGCTGGGGAACGACCGCTACATGCAGTGCCGGTAGCGCGATTCAACTACCCCCGATCTCATCCATTGCTAGCAGTTCGACCTTCGATATTGATGACGACGATGAGTTCACCCGCCTCCCCCCCGCCACCCTCAACTCTCACTGGCGTTTGGCACGCACCGACATCATACGGTACTTCTGGACAGAAGGAAACTGGCGCCATCTGGCTGGTTGCTCTCTCGCTTGGCTCCTTCTTGACTTTGGCTTTTACGGTATTGGATTGTCGAGCCCTCAATTTTTAGCAAAGACGTGGGGCGAACTTCATATCACTCGTGCCGCACCGAACTGGAAGACCGACGAGACACCAAATGCCAATCTCTACGATATGTTCATGCATACCTCTGTGCGTGGGCTGATTGTGCTCAATATCGGGAGTTTTGTCGGGGGCATACTGCTCATCATGTTTGCCCAGAAGCTGGATCGTGTTGCCCTGCAGAAGTACATGTTCCTCGGGCTGGCGGCTTTGTTCATCGCCCTGGGGACCCTGTTCGTCTGTCTTTATTCCTACCCCCCCTGTCATAGTGGCATTGTATATTGTCGGCCAAATCTTGTTCAACTTTGGTGAGTCAAACCCAGGGCACGACGCATCGAGTCATTCTAACTAAACTATCCACAGGTCCCAATGGAACAACCTATATGATACCCGCCGAGATCTTCCCAACCCGATACCGCGCAAGCTGTCACGGCATCAGCGCTGGGGCCGGAAAGCTTGGCTCTATTCTCGTACAGATCTTCTCAACGTTCTACCACTTTGGCTCAGGGCCAGGTCCCGAAGCAACCCGCATGCACGGCATTGTTCTCCTTGTCTTCAGCGCCTGTATGATCCTTGGCGCAATCGTCACACACTACTGGATTCCACCAATTCAACAAAAACGGAATGGCAGAACCAAGCTTTGGGGTGGTACTCCCGAGACTCTTGAGAGCTTGTCTCTTGGCAGAATGGGACGCAGGAGTCGGGATGCCGATTGTCGGAAACGGACATCACGGCATCGGGCCCTTTCAATGAGTGCCTAGGTATTGCTGCGCTCCATGTCTATCTCTAATTATTCTTCTGTATATATTTAGAATCTGTTTTATTTGGGTTTGGTAGTTGCGGCTACGTGAATATAAACCAATAGACACGCATGTCCACTATAATTAACTTTAAAGATGTATTCACAATTCAAACCCAAGAGCAGCCACCATCGAGCAACCGCCCCATAGCAACCTCATCAAGATAAAGCGCAACATCCATCCCCCCCATCCTGAACCCCACTATCCATCACCTGAAGACACCCATCCATCTTCGGCATCACAGCATGCACATAACGTGGCTTATTCCCACCTATAAAGTCAACATCATACAACCGCAGTCGCAGCCACGACGTGACAAGCGTATGGTCGGACCCTAAAAATGCCTGCCACAGCCGCTGCGGCGATACCTCGTGCGCAGCATCATGCAACATCGCACCCACAGCATCAGCCGTAAACTCCTTCATCGTCTCTCGGATCCGGCTAGCCGTCTCGCCTATTATCTCCTGACATACCGAAAAAGCCATTCCACTAACATGAGTCAGGAACAGCGGGGATCCAACGAACGTATCAGGAAGAGCGGGCGAAACACGCGCTCGTGCACCGAGACTAAGATCCATATATACGCGTCTTGAAGAGTTGGCCTGTCCGCGTGCTCGTATAATGGCTATCCACAGGTGTGCGAGCAGAGCATCCAGTCTAGAGATATCACATCGACCCCCTGTGTCGAGGGCCGTAGCTTGGAATTTGCTTAGCTCTACGGCTGTGAAGTGCAACTGTGTATATCTGACTTTCTTAGAGAAATCCCATGAAACCCACGGCGCTGGTTCCGAGGGCGAGACTCGTCTGTGCTCGAGTTCTCCGGGCGGAGGTTTGGAGTTCTCCGTCGTCGGTATAAGAAATGGTGGGTAACCCTCGGCAGCAGTATCCCACCAGCTATACCGATGTAGAGGTAATTTGCGAGCGATGCGCACGAGGCCTTGGTCTGGCTCGGGGCTATCAATATCGCCCGCAGCACAGCTATCCAGCAACGCAGGATCGAACACGGGCTCGCCCATTAGCGGGGTTTCCGGTTGGTTCCCGAATTGCTTTTTGCTGCTATGGGCCCATTGATGCATGAATACCATTAGCGTCTGTGCGTCTGCTAGACAGTGCGCCATCTTGACTCCGATGACGTAGCCCCCTTCCTGGAGAAGACTGATTTGGACTTGCATTCCTGGTAGACCGGCATAATCGCGCAGATTGGCTAGTGCGAGTGGGTTGGATGATACGAAGAGTCTTTCGTTGAAGGCATCGCCTGCCCATGCGCCGGGCTGAGAATCGGTGCTTGATGAAGCACGTTCCTCCGCTGTGGGGACGATTTCGTCTGCTCGGAAGGCATGTTCGATTACCGTCCATTCGACACCTGGGTCGGTGTCTGTTCCGTATACGATCAATGGACGATTGAAACGCTCGGTGTGGTTTCCTTTGGGGTTGACGGTTGCCCATTGGAGTTGGCCTGCCCATTGGGGGAATTTTGATAGGGTTTCAATGAAGGAAGTTCGTAAATGCTCGATTAATGTCTTCTGATCTAAGTCTAGATGTTGGTCGAAAATCCAAATTGCTCCTGTTGGAGAGAACCGCGCGACCGTTGCATCGAGGATGGACAGGGGTGTTGATGTCGGTGGTAGCTGGTTGGCTGGTCGCAGCCTTGTGGACTCGATGGTGGTCATGTCGTATTTGTGTGTAAAGTGTGCTCAGGGCCTATAATCTTTTTAGATCAATCTTATTCATTTTTATCTTGCTGAGTTCATGAGTCAATATCCGTCATTGTGTGCCATTGTGTGTCAATTCCACGCCAAGCCCCTAGTAATTAAAACTTGCACAGAAGGAGAGCTCGACGGTTTGAGACTGACGCCACATGGTTATCTCAGACAAGGCACCGGCTAAATATCGAACTGGAATAAAATTAGCAGTTTCGACTCCGACATCGTGCATCTAAACGTTCTGAAAGCCTGAGGCATAAGTGGGGAATCTCGCGGGCGCATCGTCCGCGTCTGCCCCTCACATCTAATTCATGAAGATCACATCCATTTGAAATGCTTCTGCCAGATCTGTCCAATGAGCTGCTACTATTAGGCTGTTCTCCGCAGAAAGAGGTCCTTTCGTTGCAATTGTGAAAGCACTACTTGAACACTTCGCGAAAACGGGAATCCCTCCAAAGAGAAGGAAGACCCTGGAGGAGAGGCAGGCTGAAGGTTATGAAGAATATGACTTTCAATTTACCTCTCCCATCTTTTGATTACTGAGACGTGCATGATGATAAGCTATGGAAATAATTAGAATATTCTGCTGTCGAACCTTGGAAGACCTTCCTAGCTGATAGGGATTCCCCAGCTCAATCAGTTGTGTCTGAGACGTGAAGACATCGGGAATTCAGGCTCCTTGGTGGCTTTTAGCCAACTATAACGCCTTACTTCAAATATAACGAAACACCGGTGCAATTATGGATATTCCAGTCAACCCCTCCATCAAATAAGTCAACCATGTGAAGAGCGATGGTGATACAAAACAAATGCGGTTCCTTGAACAGCCCTTGTCATTACTCATTTGGACGTTTCAGCGGATGTCCTCCGGCATTAAAAGCAAACTCATCCAAACTGATCAGGTCCGGAGGGCTAAACATGAGGTAGAAATATTTGAGCGTCTGCGACATCCACATGCCGTCCATCGAGTCTTTGAGAGTCATTTCACCACCCTCATCCGTGACATCGCCAATAGCCGCATTTCCATTCTTCGTCTGCGTTGCACTTTGCATTGCCTGGAACATATCCCAAGCTGCATCGAGTAGATCTTCACGACCACTGACGCGGTAGAGAGTAAAGATACTCTCGATCACTTCCGGGCGCAGGTTATAAGCAGTGTCCGAGATTCCCGTGAACCCTTTGGGCAGACGATGGTCTCTAATAAAAGTATCGACATTGAGATTCGGATCTGGTTCTGGCTCGAGCCTGTTCGCATTTTTCCAGACCTCCTGCTTCCAGTGCCATTCGCTCCACGGGCAGCTTTTCTGCGATGCACATGGAACCACATCAAAGGATTCGGGCATAATCCTAAGCGGAATGACCCGGTGAGCCCAGATGCATCCATCGACCAGCTTATGGGCGATTTCCTGGTGGCCAGGGATGTTGAGTAGTGCGCCCCCTAGTGCGAACATACCACCCGCAAAACAAGACCGGTACTGCATTTGCGGCTCTAGGTGTATTTGTTGGTTCCCATTATCTGCTGTGACCACTCTAACAGTGCCAGAGATGAGGACGTCCTTGCCCTCGGGGTTCATTGGTCGGAATAGATTGTGGCCCGCGGCTGTGAGCGTGACATTCTCGTACATCCTGCGATACATGGGCACTTTTCCTCCTAGCAAAGCGTACGCCCCGGGTAGCGACTTGTACAGTGAGCTTGCTTCAGCGCCCAATGTGAACACATTGTCGTCGAAAATCCCTTCTCTAGCATTCACGGAGACAGGCCACAGGCCTGGGAGTTTAGTGGTGTCCTGTTTGTTATCGAACAATTCCATAACTCGTTGGGCCGCGTCAAAGTACTTTGGGTCACCGGTAATCTGAGACAATCTGGTGAATTCCAATGTGAATGAGCCCAGCTCTGCGCCAAGTACACTCTCTCCTACAAGCTGCTCTTCTCGGCGGACAGCTTTACGTGCGTTCCAATGTATGATGGGCATTCTGTTCGGAGTATCAAAGGCAGCATAAAGCATATCGCCCAGCTCGATGGCCTTTCCCAGCAATTTCGCATCAGCGCTGAGATCAAATGCCGCCAGCAGGCCTCCGAGTAAATGGATATTGAGTTCATGGGTATTAATTTCGGGTGACTGTGTGTCTTCGAATTTGATATGTGTGACTGCAGCCACAGCCTTCTTGAATTCATCGTGCATCCCCATGATCCACAGTGTGTCAAGGTTGTCAATTAGCGTAGCACCCCATCCCCACTTATTTCTCAAACTACTACTGAGAGGCGCAAGCTCATCTGCGCCCCAGGCAAGCGACTCATATGAGTGTCAACATCGTTCAAAGGCTTCTTTCACGGCGATCTGTCTGGTGGTTTGGGGGTCCAAGTTGAGACGAGATACTTTGGAGTCTGCCAATTGGACCTTGGGTAACGTCTGGGGTAGTGTTACGGGTAGTGGCTGCACTTCAGCAACTGGGTATCGCACGGGCAGTTTTCTCCATAGTGAGTTTGGGTTTATTTCAATATTCAAGGTGACTTTGGATGCATCTTGTGAAGGGGTCGTGAGAAGAATGCCGTCGTTTGTGCGATGACAACGGTAAAGCAGGTACAATAAAAAGGTCCCGAGGCAAGCGCGTATGATCTGACGGTAGGCACGACTCATGGTGATTTCGCGCTACAATCAGGCCGGCATATTCAAATGAACCTTGGAAGATATCGTGGTCAACATCACCAACAGAATCAAGGGATGTGGAAAGAGAGACAAAAAAAAAAAATAAATCCCCGCATTCCGTTCACCGATGGAGGGCGAAGTTTAGGTACCTACTAAGCCCAGATTTGGCCGGGAATGGAAGGAGAAGGATTTAATCTATCTAAATTTAGATTGAGGATTGTACGACGCCCTTCTGGACTTATCCATGGATGCTCTGTCCTCCTCTGCATTGCTAAGCCTATATCTGTCTTTCACGAGTTAAGCTTGATTATTGTAATGCAAATTAGAAGGGAAATATTCTGTATCACTAGAGTTATGGATTTGTTCAAGTAATCGAAACAATGTAAGACCATGCTCCGCTCTGCTACAAACGGGAAATTACCTCGGGTAGAAACGCCTATATTAATCTTCCAAAACTCTAGGGCTGGCATGGCATTGAAGCGGAGAATTGAGGTAGATGTTGAGAGTGACAAGGTTCCAAGATTGTTTGCAAGAGGAACGGTTTCTTGTAAGGCTTAATGTACCCGTTTCAGGTGTTCCAAGGTTCCTTCCTCGGATCGAAACACGTCCAGGGGCTCCTTCCCAAACAGCACCTACGTCGAGCCACGTGGGCCTGGAGTGTTGCAGAGCCATTAGGTAGTTCCAGTGGGTATATAGGTGGATACCCAGGTGGACTCCTCCGAGAGTAGATATGGCAACTTTCTGCATATGAACCCCCTATTAAACATAGTAGCTGGAATAATTCAGACCCGTGATGAGAGGGGCGGACGCTATGTGTACGACTTATTCTTCATATGCTAATTGAATTGCCTATGCATCGTTCAACAATTGATATGAGCTTGTTGATGCTGTTCTGGCCGGAGAGGGACATCCAACATTGTCGTCATCTCATACACTGCAATGCGTGTGCAATGATGATTGAAGACAACTAATAAAAATCAAATACAAAGAAATATATACTCAATTGGTACTGAGTACGAAAAACAAAAAAAAGAAATTGTTGTGCATCATCCGTGAATCGAACACGGGCCTCGTCGATGGCAACGACGAATTCTACCACTAGACCAATGATGCTAGTTGATGTAATGTGATCCGCTAATATATTCTATATCCCTAAATAAAGCTGGTAACAATAGCAATCCTAATCTTTCCAGTTAAAGGGCCAAAACGTTTGGTATTGTTCCTTAATAGTTAATACTTGATGGAGATAGGAGCCTGTTTGGCTGCTTTATATGGTAAATTGGCCCACAGAGAACATATTAGCGCATAATATTACCCTGTCGGGCAAGGAACTCGGGTTCTATATATCTCACATGGCTAGCTGCAGTATGTGGTCACGCGCAACAGGCAAGCATCCCCCATAGGCAAAAAGAGCCGAGAAGAGTCATGAATGTCACAACAAGGGTTATATATGCCGTTTAAATACTTACTTTGGGATAATTAACCTTAAGCTCGAGGTTTTGTACTAAAGTAGGTTCCTTCGGTCCAATCAAATCAACTGAATTCTACACATCGACCACAGAAGTATCGAAAGTTGTAGTAATTGAATGGCATAAGGGAGGAAGTATCATGAATAAAGTGCAGAAGTGCAGACAAGGTGACCTATCGCTAACGTTTGCCGGGATTAGCAGACTACCTAGGTAAGACCCCGGAATGACATACACAGTGGGTCGGGTAAACCAGGGCACAGATAGCCCTGGATCTGCAGGTTCTCATATGTAAATACACCTTAGGCATGTATTGGAACCTTCCAAGGTTCTGTGTTGTTCAAAATGCGGGGCGATTAACGAAATAAAAAGTGAGGGGTTATCCCATTGCATCTCTGTTCGTGTCACTTTCCCCAATACCCTCAATTGCAAATCAACCACACCAAACCAATATGGCAATTTCCAACGACATCCCGCCATCGCATGAGCGAGTTGTGCCGGGTTCCTGCAACATCGAACTCGGCCAATTCCCCAAGACCATGTCATCCGAGTCGGATGTTGCATTAGACCCGAACGCTGTTGCGGACGAAATCACCAATCAGCTAAACACGGGTCTCGCATCCAGAGACAAGGCAGCGGTCGCATCACTATTTCTCGAGAATTGCTACTGGCGTGACCACCTGTGTTATTCGTGGGACTTCCGCACCCTCGAGGGGAGTCAACCTATCTCCGCCTTTGTCACCGAGACAGCACCTAGTAAAATCGAAATCGATCGATCAGTTGACTTCAAATCCCCACACAAGGCTCCTATTGATTCCTTTGGTGATGTCTTCGGAATTGAATTCCACATCAAGGTCACCACCGAGAATGGACAGGGAAATGGTATCATGCGACTGGCGGAAGATGATGGCAAATGGTACATTTTCACCGTCTTCACTTCCATGGTCGAGATAAAGGGCCACGAGGAGAACAAGGAGAGGCCATTTGGTGTTCGACATGGCGAGCAGCAAGGTCGGAAGAACTGGAAAGATCGGCGTATTGATGAGATTAACTTCGAGGGCAAGGATCCGGCAGTATTGATAGTTGGTATGTGTCGATGAAGTGTTTCCCTCTAGAAATATGAAAACTAACTTGAAGAATTAAGGTGCTGGCCAGGGTGGCTTGACTGCTGCTGCACGTCTCAAGATGCTCGAGGTTGACACCCTCATCATCGACCGAGAAGAGAAGATCGGAGACAACTGGCGTCAGCGATACCATCAGCTTGTTCTCCATGACCCGGTATGGTACGACCACATGCCTTACTTACCCTTCCCGCCCGACTGGCCCATCTACACACCAAAGGACAAACTGGCGGATTTCTTCGAGACATACGTGAAGTTCCGAGAGCTCAATGTTTGGATGCAAACCGAGATGAAATCGTCATCCTGGGATGAGGACAAGAAGCAATGGACTGTTGTTCTCGAGCGCAAGACAGAAAACGGAACCGAGACGCGCACCTTACACCCACGCCACATTATCCAAGCTACCGGCCACTCTGGCAAGAAAAACATGCCCACTTTCGAAGGAATGGAAGATTTCAAGGGAGATCGCCTGTGCCACAGCTCGGAGCATCCTGGCGCGAATTCCGAGTCAAAGGGTAAAAAGGCCATCGTCGTTGGATCGTGTAACTCGGCAAACGATATCGCGCAGGACTTCGTCGAGAAAGGGTACGACGTGACTATGGTGCAGCGAAGCTCTACCTGCGTGGTATCATCCGACTCTACCTTGAGTATTGCCTTCAAAGGGCTCTATGATGGGACCGGTCCGCCAACCGAAGACGCCGATCTTTATCTCACGAGCGTTCCATTGCGCCTACTCAAAGCGCAACAAGTTAAAGTCACCAAACTCACGATTCAGAACGACGCAAAGACGACCGAAGGGCTGGAAAAGGCAGGTTTCAAGGTCGACAACGGACCAATGGACAGCGGTCTATTGATGAAGTACTACCATCGCGGAGGCGGGTACTACATTGACGTCGGTGGAAGCCAGCTCATTATTGATGGGAAGGTCAAGGTCAAGCATGGTCAGGAAATCAGCCAAGTTCTTCCCCATGGACTCCGATTTGCGGATGGTTCAGAGCTTGAAGCCGATGAAATCGTGTTTGCCACTGGATATCAGAACATGAGAACCGAGACTCGTGTCATTTTCGGCGACAAGGTCGCTGACAGGGTTGGTGATATCTGGGGTCTTGATAAAGAGGGTGAAATGCGGACTATCTGGCGGCGGAGTGGTCACCCTGGATTCTGGTTTATGGGAGGGAACCTCGCTCTTAGCAGGTACTACTCGCGTCTGCTGGCATTGCAGATCAAAGCGCTGGAAGAGGGGTTGACTACTTGGTAGGTACTGAGAAGTGGGGTTTGGGCTTGCATAACATTGGCAAGAAGACTACTTCTAGCTCATGTGTATATATTTATGGCTGCAGTCGGCCTGTGATAGCCAATCCAATATAAGTACTAGTAGCACCAGTGCTGTTCAAGATACATGTATACTTCCCCTCGGTAATTAACAATCAACCCAACCAGCCTTCTTGAGAAGCCACCGAGGCACCCAAAGTCAACACAAGAGAGTACAGCCAAGTCTCGAAATCCGCCGAGCCCCCAGAAACCGGCTCCGTCAACACCAAACAAGTCCGAAGATGATCCAAGATGGAACTCTTCCTCACAAAAATCTCAAACCCGTCCCGAGTCATCGTAGCAATGCGACTCTTCCGACGAATCTTGCGGTCAATCGCCATAAGAACAAACTGTTCATTATCCGGAGACCCAGATGCCGCATTCCCATTTGCAGAAAGTGTCCGTTTCTCCCACTGCATAATCATCCGACACTGCTCGGGCCCGGTCGTATTTTCTTCTTTTTTAATAACGAATCTGTAACAAGTGCCTTTCTCAGGTCCTGCCGAGCTGGCGCTAGCTTGCCAGATGCATTTTGAGTCGCGGAAGTGAATTGATGATGGGGTGTTGCTGCTTGACTGGCACATTGCAGCGACGATATCCTTTTCTTGGATATCGTTTGAATGTGGATCTTGCTCTTGGGGATGGTCTTGTCCATCTGGCTGTTTATTGGTGATATATGGTTCATTGAGGGTTGCGTAGATATCCCTCGTGCCGAGCTTTGGGCGTTGAGGGAAACTTCTTGTCAATTTTGATTTGCGGAGTGGTGGCTGCCATATCTCTAATACTGGCACTGGTCGGTGGTTTGGTGGTAGTTGTTGGATTTGAAGAAGTAGTTTGGGGCTGAGTCGAAGTAATTGACTTGATTTTGGGGGCGGCCGGGCTATTTGGAACCTGGCCTGTATTTTGGTTTTGATGGGTTGAGATGATGGTCTGGGGATGATATTAGATATAATTCTCAGTAAAATAAAAGAATTTATATGGGCTCTTCTTCCAGGAGTATTATTACATACCGTTCTTCGCTTGATGTGTCGCTATCATAGGTTCGAATAGTATCCGGGGACTCCACGGTGAAGTCCATATTGCTTCAGACTTGAAGGTTACAACACAGGAAAAAAAAGATAGAAGGCTGAGAGCTAGAAAGTGCTAAAGGGCTCAGTATAAATACATATAGCTTGTCAGCCTTGGCCGTGGCCCTACATATAGCCGTATTCGTATCATCGTGCACGAGCCATGGGTCCAGCGTATCTGGGAACTAGTACGAATACGGGGGGGTTTACTCCGTAATGTCTGAAGTTTTGTCTGAAGAGGCACATACATTCTCGTTGCCTGGGACATTTGACACATGGTACGGAGTATAAACCTGTCGCATACATATGTGCCGTGTTTTGAAACCCTGAAGGCTAGGCATCTACAATTCCTTTTCCACGAGGCCATGGGACGGCCCCACTCCAAAGTGATATTCTTAAACATTCCAAACCATCTCTATCCACTACGTACTCCATACTCTATATAATATACGGACTCTATACGGACTAGAAAGTCCGTACTCCGTACGTTGGCCACAGGATTTGTTGATCGACAGCCGTTTTGATGTTCGGTGTGTGTCGGGGTTTTCCGCCGTGCCCGTGTGCCCGACTGGGCAGGGCAAATCCACAGCCTCAACTTCTCAGAGCGGCCATTCATAGCCACCCCATATGATGAAATCTCATCTCGAATGTAGATTTCCTCACAAAACATGACTCGGTTTCGTTCGAAAATGCCCTCAAGCTTGCCGAGTATAAAATACTTCTATAAAGGCCACTTGTAGCCCGAGAAGCCGGTCAAAAGTTCCTCCGGCTTGATGATATCAGCGGAAGTCGGTGAGGTCAGGAAGGCCGAGCAATGCGTAGCACCTTTTCCAATAATGCAGACCCTTAGGGTCCTGTGATCGAAGACGTATGCAGTTTCTTGCAAGATCAGCGAACCCAAGCCTGGTCATTGGGATGTTTCACGCTTCTTTGTTTACCGCAGGTCGTCGGTCATCATATCGTTTTCTCCATCCGTGATCCAGGCCCAAGACCCGCCCTGTCACTATGCCCTTCAATGTGAAGATCTGTATGATCACCCACATGAGTACAAGCAGCAGCAGAAGGGCAGTGGAAAACACATCGAAGGCAGGGGAATCCATAATCCTCCCAAATTCAACGGCAGCATTGGTAAAAGTACCCTAGAGAAATCCGAACGACTGTTAGAACACCCCCCATTAAACCAAAGAAATCAATATACGCACCCACGGGAAGACCACAGACCACACAGCCATGGTGAAACGTGACTGCTTCCAGCCCCCAGGTTGTGTGTGCAGAGTATAACAGATAGTCAGGATGGCAAAGAACCACCAAAAGACCCCATACCCCCAGACAAGAAGACCAGTGAAATGACTGATGAAAGCGAAGGGACCAGCTGCCTCTGCAGTCAAAAGTTGACCGCGATCATACGCCGCAAAGCTCCCGGCATGAACAGCCTCGCCCAAAGACTGGAGCGCGACCGAAGCCTGTCCGCAAGGACCGCACATAATCATATCCTGGTACACCGTGTCCGGTGACTGTGACGGACGACCGAAGTATTGGTAGAGTATAATGGTTTCGAACGCAGAAACGAGGGCAAGGCCGGCCCCGACTTCGAGGTAGGAGATGATGATGCCGGGGACCTGGAGACGGGGGCTGATACGCGCGAGACGACATATAACCCCGCCGCCCGCGGCAGAGGTCAACGCCGCAAGGAATGGCATCAACATATCCGCCTGCATGTGTCGTGTGCCCGACTGCTGCATCTTGAGGTGGATGAATGGGATCACCATACAGGCGACTATGGCCATGCCGGTGTTTACCCACCACATGATGTAAATGGCCAGCCCGGCTGTGTCACCGTATTGGAGGACGGCCATCTCGAGGATAGAGGTGAAAGCGATGGAGACACAGCAGAGACATGATGTTTCGGCGCTGTTGTTCCGCAGCTGGTGTAGGACGTGTCTTGGGTGTAGGAATGTGCGTATGAGATAGAGGATGAGGAATAAACCGAGCTGGACGATGGTGTAGATCCATACGATTGTGGCGAGGGTTGTTAGCCCGTCGAATTGGTATTTCAGTCGATAGAGTATCACGGCTATTATACCTGTTCCTTGCGGAACGATGAACCATACCGATGCGAAATTCCACAGGGCGCGAGACAGCGGACCCGCTGGTGGAGGGAGGTCGCCCCGATCTGTCATGTGTGGTTCTGTGGTATTCCCCTCAATTGGAGTGGGAGATTGATCTTACTATGCTTTTGATCAATTCGAGGGAACATGCAGGTTTAGGGAAGCTTCGATTTGTCTTGACGTCATCGGTCGAAGCTTGTGGGAGCTATCTGCAGATCACACAATTGCTTCATTTTGTAAAGATAAAAAAATTCGTATTTGATTGGAGCAATACTGCAAATATCAGGTACAGATAAAGCAAATTGACCGTAAGGCAATAATTTCAAGATGAGTTGCTCGCAGATCCAGGGCCATCCCATACCATAAAAGTCATAATTTCCAGACGAAAAATTGTCCAAACCACCATGGCCGACCGAATCAGAATACCCCGAATGCATATGCGTAGTCCCCTGAAACCAGGCGAACCCATTCACGCCTCAGTGCTTTTCCCCTGAGAACTTTCAACCCATATAACTCGCTGTAACCCCGTGTAACGCCAGTTCCTCATTGTGTAACATGTTCCAGCAATCATCCATTTCGTGAAACCTTCCAAGGGTTGAAGGGGAAAGAAGAAGGGGGAGTTACGAGCTCCCTGTGTCTTTTGTGTAGTTGGTGTCTTCGGTGTAAGTGGGGGGCCGATAGTAGCCCGGGTAGCCCGGGTAGCCTGGCCCCGCTGGATCTAATCAAAGTCAGCGAGATGATCAGTTCAACAATTCACCGGAACATACAACGCGACTCCAGATCTCTTCCACCCCAGGATATCTGCCTCAGATTGTTAAATCCTCGAGCTCGCACCTCGGCCATGTACACCTTCTGATCGTAGCCCGGACTGAACGGGGTCTCTCCATCGGCGGGTTTGTAGTGTTTAAAGAGCGATGCTCCCAGTGCGGTTGCTGCGAGACAGGCGACAAGGACAATGACAATGATGGCTGCGTTGGAGAGCCCCATTGTGAACAGAATTAGAGAAAGAAAGTCTCAGTCAGATCGGGGAATTGCAGTTGGTTTCGAAGGCAGTTTGGATTGTAAGAGGTGGGTCAGTGCATGATGGAGAGAGCCTCCGCTGGGAACCGTAGATGCCTCGCGATGCTAGGGACTAGCACTGATGCGACTGATGAAACGAGATGAAGAGGGGGATAAAGAAAGAAAGAAAAAGAAAACAAAGGAAGGAACAAATAAACTTCAAGGTCACAAGTGTCGATACCTCCGATTTGCAATCTGATGTGTTGTCTCTATACGTGACCATCCCATTGGCCATGTTTTTGACACAATTAATGTTTGAGCACTACATCTGTATCCACCAATCATTACATTGTTGTGTGGCATTTGATTGAAGAAAGCCCAAAAATAGCCCTGACGTGGCTAATGTGTTTAGTTAAAAGCTTGTCATCGACGTTACATACTATCTACTTTAATTGGTCAATTCATGTACACAGCAATTTGAAGTAACAAGTTCAGTATAGACAAGTAAATTGCAAGAGAAGTGTAAACCAAAAAAGAAAAGAAAAAAGGCCTAACCTCAAAGGAAGTAAAATACAATGCAAGTGCTCCCGTAGGCAGCAGCCAAGGGCGTGTAATAGAGTGGTTTCGCAGCGAACCTCGGTACAAGGTAGTAGGTACATATATGTACATATGTATATTATCTACATCCAATATGACTTCCGGTAATGACGGTCAAAGAAGATACTTTTTTGCAATCTACCTAGTCATCAGTGTCTACGCTCCTGAGGGTCGAATAGAGACGTCAACTAATATTCTTCAAGTATAGATCGCCAGGATATATTCCATGATCGTTCTTATTTTCCCCTGTCGGCTATATCAAAATATCTCTTTGACACAATACTGATTTAAACGAACGAGTCAGAAATAAACAGTCTTTACAGGATTTAAAAGCCCAGACTAGTTTCGTCCTCTTATTAGTCCTATGGGATGTCTCCTACATAAAATATGAAGTACGTTGGATTTAAACAAAATAAGCGTCGTTTCAACTTGAAAGCTTCTACATTTATCCATGTCACAACTATAGAACCAGGCAAAAACACTCCAAAAACAATGTCAGTAATGCTCAATCACCTACTCGCCAAAGGAAAGGACTATCCATTATCTGGGAAAATCAGCTGCTGAGAGTTAGTCAAGCGAATCAAGGTAGGTTCTCAGACATCCTCAATATCAAACCGAATGTTGAGTTCAACCATGCCAGTATGGAATGTCATGATCCGCGGAATCCGTTTGACCCCCTGACCATATGCACACAAGACAAAGGCCGCGACAACTTTACCAATTGGAGTACCAAGAATACCGCAAAACTCCGGCGAAGGAGACTCCCAAGTTCGCGGCTCCTTAGATGGAAACCCAAGCCCCTGGGACTCATAAATATCCTCTCGAATAAAGGGCCTGGTTTCCTCTTGAACGACCGTAGTAACGATAACACACTTTAGGCTTTCCAAGGGATAATGCAACTCATAGAGAGCCTTGGTAAATTCGGACATGTAAAAGTTCCTGGGATCCTGTGCTCTCTTTATGTTGTCTATGAATATAACGCCTGGTCCGATTCGCCCCATCCAGTATGTATGCTCGCCTTTGATTTTAAGAACTGATTGGCCCAGATACATAGTTTGTTTGCTCGCTGGGTCGTCAAGTGTTAGGCCAAAAGTATCGGCCCAGGCCTCCCATTCCAGCGTAAGGGGCTTCGGGCTGGAAGCGACATGCCAGAGCGTAGGATCGAGGCCTGCCACAGTAAGTGTGGTTCTGGGAATATAACACCCGGGCTCATCGGCACGCTCCATCCATCGTCGAAAGGTATCGCCCAATGGCTCAAACTCGGGGTACTTGGCGGCCATCGCGATGAAGCTGCCTCTAAGCTCACCAAACCAATTGAGGTTGAGGGAAATATGTTAAGCGCTTACCCACTAACTCAAACTTCTTGAGAGCTTGTTGGTATCCTGATAAAACGACGCGGTGCATCGAGTACGCTTATATAGTTTTAGTTAGTTGATCTTAGGAACAAAGAGAAACAAAGAGCATAGTCAATACCATTGTGCAGAATAACGCATAATCAAGACCAAGAGCGCTGGAGGCTTAGGGAACTGACGAAGAATAAAGAATAAAGGAGTCAAAGAACCATTCGAGCTGCTCTGAAAGGATGGAAAGAGTCTTAGGGCAGTCTAATAAAAACTGAGGTTGACTGACATTGTACAAAATCATTATGACAAGCCACAGACCGTATCAAATTCACATATAGTCATCTTCTTCCATGTCTCTGTCACGCCCGCCAGCGTGTATAACCACACATTATTCATATAATCCGAATAATGTTTCGTCCTTATTGGTGTGTGCACTGTTGCCCTTTCTCGAATACCGAAATCCTGGCTACAAGGCACATCCGCCGTCCAGTCTTCGCAGAACGCGGGCCTGCTTGGCCAGCTGTCGTATAGGGTGGTAGCTGCGGGTCGTGTTGTTTCAGCAAACATCCATGGATATTTGCGATGCACTTATATTCGAGATCATAATAATGAATTGTAAGCATTTAACCTGTAAAAAGTAGTAGCCAGTCATTCAAGACGGTTAGCGGTTTTGCTTAGCATGGTAATGGTGTGTGGAGACTTCAATCTTGCCTTGCTTCTCTGGGATGTGTAGGAAGGCGTTGTCTCGGTCGAGGTTGTAGACATCTTTGTGTGCTGCTGGTATGTTCACGCTGGATATGCTGACTGCATGCTGTCATTTTGATATAACGAGCTGCACATTGTACAGTATTTCCGCGAGCCTAGTAATTCGACTTGTGGGTCGTCTCAGCCTAAGAGCTCGTCAGTCTTTCAGGTCGTATCTCGAACCATATCAGCATGTGCTTGCCTGACATAGGGCCGGGAACCCAGGGGGCTCTTCCAGCACCAAACAGAATTCCCGAAGGTTATTGTGATCCACTCGCTGAGGGGGGACAGGGCTTTTCCAGGCCGGTAAACGATTATGGGAACGACATAAACAGACGACTGGGGCCGTCATCGTCACAGGGAATCAGGTTGTGAAAGTCCGTTTATTTGAAGATGGGGATAGATAAACCGGATAATCGGCGCGTTGCCGTGCTGATGATTGATAACCACTGCTTGGCTGACTTAGGTGGGTTGTGCATGTTCCCAAAGAGCCTGGTGTTCTCGTCTGGGGTGACTATGTCACCCCTGCCGAGACACATCAATGCAATGACCACATCGACAACGGGGAAAGGGTACCATTCCAGTATAACATCCACACAATGTGGAAAGATAGTCGTCATCAGATCCAGCGAGCGTGATGCCATCTAATATGAGAGATTAGACAGCCAAAATTCACCAGTGTCTTGGGTTGCCTAGGCATAAAACAGGGGATCCGAGGGCATTTCTCATGTCTGGCAATACATCGACTGCAAAGTGGTAGAGCCATGCGACACACATCTAACCACAAAGGCCTGATGTCTTGGCTAGGCAGATTACAGATACATAAAGTTATATATAGCTATGTCCATAGAGACACGAGTCTTATAAAGGTTGTCTCTCAATTGCTCCCTAGCGTGAGTGTTGGAGCACAAAGTTGAGGCTATTCCCTGTTTTGTTTGCAAGTTCGACTATCTACCAGGTAGACATCGAGTCTGCAGCAATGGGCTTTTGGTCTGGAAATCAAGCTTAAGGCTGAATAGTCCTTTGGTCTCTTTTCGGTAGTAGCTCCTGCCATTTTAGATTGAAGTGCTCAATAGGCTCAATAGCAGGCCCCGGGTGACAATAGGCTGTCTCGTCACAGTCGCCCCTGCCTAAAATGGAAGTTCAATGGTCGAGACACATAACGCGTGCTCATTGTGTCCATCGTTCCTTCCATTTTTGCAGTACCCTCCGTCTAGGGGACTCAGGGTCTCCTATAAATACCCCCCTCCCCCTCACTTTTCTCTTTCTTTCTTCTCTCTCTCTCTTCTCTTCCCAAGTTACCAACCCAGTTCTCACCAGCGCAACCTGCGCTGTGACATTTCTGCTCCCCCCACGTCCTCGGCCTCGCGGCATTTTTCATTTTTATTTTAAAAAAAGTAAGTCTTGGGTCAAGTCCCCTTCTACCCCATACTCCTTCTACCCCATTACCCCTTCTACCCCATACTCCTTCTGCCCCATACTCCTTCTGCCCCATACCCCTTCTATCCCAGTCCCCTCCCTATTGACTCGTGCTGACATACATGCTAATGCCTTTGTCTCTTACCTCTGCAGAAAAAAAAAAAATCAACATGTTGATCCCCTTCTTGGGAATCTTCCTGGGCATGACTCTCTGGAGTCAGTGGTTCCCCATCCCGGGTTTCACTGCTCCGGAGCAGTCGTTCATGCGGCGTCTGTCTGGTACTTTCCAGCTGACGATGGAGTCTTGGGCCTTCTGTGACCTGGTGAACGCTGCCGCCTCCAAGCGCGGTCATGCCTCCCAGGGCGAGCATCCTGTATGGGAGTCGCCTCCTCACGTTGGCCATGGGTATGCAAACTCGACGGATACGGTTTTTAGCCTTGGTACGGATGTCATCGTCCGGCCTGGTCTGGCCGATGAGATGCCGCCCTGGTTTCTAACCCCGTTCCTGGTACCCATCCCGGTCTCGTCTTGGTCAAGTGACGGAGTGACATCTTCTGTTCCCGAGGAATTTGTCGACATCCACCGGCTTCGATCCAAGCCCGAGCAAGGCTTCTTCGCCACGTTGTTGTTCATCGGCGTTTGGTGTTTCGTCCAAGTCCCCTGGGGCTTGATTGCTTACCAACGGCAATTGTACTCCGGTCTTGATACCTTGATTGAGTGGATTCTGAAGGTTCTCGAGGGCCAACCCCAGATTGCACGTGTGCAATTTGTGGCCGAGGAGGATTCATCTTCGTTCGACGAGGAGATGGATCGTCTGATCGCGGGTCCAACGGAAACGGATGAGGAAATTCTTTCTTGGGTCAAGGCTGCCGACAATTGTCCCGAATCTGTGTCTCACGTGTCGGTTCTCTCTCAGTTCAGAGGTATCTGGGTCCACCGGATCACCGAAGACCTGGGAGATGAGCAGTCATCGGACCCAGTATCGGCGTGCAATACCACCAACCCGGTTAACACTACGGATGACGCTCACGCGAACTTGGTCTCGCGGCATCCTTGGAACTCGATTGATCTCTACGCCTCCGGCCCTGACGATTCTCTGGCTCCGGCTGAGAGTCCGATTGGCAACGGTGCGGAAGATGAGCGTCCTGATTCCACCCCGGCGTACTTCAGCCGAAGAAACCATCCGTCGCAAGCAAAGAGACGTCGCGATGCAAAGAAAGCACGACAGGAAAAGAAGGAACTTCAACATTCCAATGTTTTAGCCTCTTACGCTTCCCGTGCTTCTCTTGCGATGTCTTCGAGCTCGACGCCTTTGTCGGCTTTGGCTCCGGTCTTCGTCCCTGGTCGCTTGGCGGAGCAGGATGATTCGCAGAGTGGTCCTCCCTCTCCAACTCCCTTGTTCGCGAATGCGAACATTGATCCTCCTACGGACTGTGGTACGACTTCGCTTGATGACGGTGCTCCTCACAATGCCCATCGCCGCCGCCGCCGTCGACAGCGTCATGCTTAGATGCTTCGGTGGAGGTGGGACATGTACCAGCAACAAAAGTGTCTGAGGGGGACACCTTGAAGGAACTCCTCTCTTCGGAGGGTTGTTTAGGTCCTTCTCGGCTGTCCTGCAGCGCTTTTGTCTGCTGGTACATGGTGTGCTGGGGCCGCGTCAAGCGTCCTCAGAAGCTTTTCGTATGTGGTTGGGTTGGAGATTGAGTTGACTGGCCAATATGCACCAGGAAAAAAAAAAGAAAAGAAAAAACCCCCAGAAAAAGCAAAAACCAGAAAAGAGAGCGAGAGAGAATTGAGAAAACCCAGCAAAGAGAGATATGCTCTCACTTTTCTCTCACATTTCTCTCACTTTTCTCTCACTTTTCTCTCACTTTTCTCTCACTTTTCTCTCACTTTTCTCTCACTTTTCTCTCACCTTCACTTGAGGTGAGATCTCTCTTGCGACAGTCCTATTTCATGTCGCTTTGTTTTTGCTTTTGCTTTGAGTTTTTGTTGTCTGGGCTTGAGATTTGCCATCTGATTTCGGTTCTTCGGCCCTCGACCACGGCCACGACAATCTCGCCCACTTCGGTTCTATAATCTTCTCGCCAAGGTCTTCCGCCCTCGTCTGCATCGACAATCAAACGGACTGTCGCGCCATCTCGCTGTTCATGATGACTTGGGGAGAAGCTCGAATTAGAGACACACCTTGATTCTCTTTCTCATTCTTCAATTCAATCCTGCTGGGGTCACGTCGACGATCTGTGAACGCTATTCCACGTACTGCATTTCTCAGGGCAGCATCTTGGTGACGAGGTCCTGCCTGAGTACATTCCTTCGACTATCCTTTTGCAGGACGACAACCACTAAACCTGCCTGTTCTATATTCCAACCACATGAACCCACGGTCATTCATTGCACCAATCATTCAACCGACATGGGAACAGCGTCAGTTTTTCCAAACGGCCTCTGGGGGGGGAGCCGACTGGACAAAACTCCACATTATCTCCATCGGTATCTACTACCTTTTACATCAGCAAGCTCGGCACATCATCATCTCGATGGTGGCTTGCGGGACGTTAATCAACCCTGCTTGTGCATGGACACCATTCACCATCTTTTGCATCGATCACCTCAACAGGCCTTACTTGCAAGGCAAAAAAAAAAGGGAAGGCAAAAGAAAGAACACAGCGTCGAACGATCTCAAGCATCCCATCCTCTTTCAAGCATCCAAATTCGACCAACCGCATTCAAAAAAAGAAAGAAAGAAAGAAAGACTTCCACTGAGCTTACGGGACGGCTTCAGTTGGACGAGTATTGAGAGAAAGAAAACAATTCTGCCTCAATTTATCATTATCACACATCTGCTGGTCAACTCAGATTAAGTTGCTCTCCGTTGGGCTGTGAGACAAGCCTTTGCTGGATCAAGAGCCCCATGACCATCAATCGGGCCTTCGACTTTGATCATGCTTCCACTCCAATTCAAGAATCAAGAGTCTATCATCAAATCAATTCCAATTCAATCATCTGATTTTCCTCCCAAAGGTTGTCGCACGCTACACCCTGGAGGATGAACTATTATCAATGCTTTTGTGCTCTGTGCAATTTCGGGGCAAGTTCCAAATTACAAAACTGCTTGCCAATATGCTTATCAGACCTGCCTTGCAGCTCCCTTTTCCTCTCTCCACAAGACTTTGACTAAGACTTTGTGTTGGATGAGCCCCTTGAAAACAATGGGTGTCGTCTCCGTGACATTCCTCGTTACCACTTTCCACCTTTATCCGACTCGGGTACCCAAAAAAATTGAAAAGCTCTTGATGAGGAACAAACAAAATCAAAACCGAGTATTTTCTTTTTCCAACCTTGCAAGGCAGCTGGGATTTGTGGTATGTCCTGGTCGCTCTCTATTTCTGTTTTTCAATTTACTGACAGTTAGGGCTTTCCCAGGACCCGTGACTCCTTCCATTACTTCATTGTCCTCCAGCGTTTCCTTTATTCAACCGGCTAAACTCTGGATTTGGTGCATGGACTCTACAAACCATGATGGGATATGATTTATGGGACATGGTACAAAGGGATATTAAAATTGGGATGGACATGCATGCCACGATTCAGGCGTCAGGCGTTGTGCGTTGTGTGGGTTCCTTGTGTTTTGTTTGTACAGATCCAGCATCCATTGAAACTGGCCGGGTCTTTTTTTTTGTTGTTATCATGATACCCCACAAAGCATAGTCTTCTTTTTGTTGATCTTTGACTGTCTTGCTTCACCGGTCAATTCAATAATATTGTATTGTTGTGATTGAAGGTTGCTCTTGTAAAGGGACCTGTTCAAGAGGAGCTGTGCTCCAATGATAAGACTCGAAATGTAAAATAAACATGCAGTCGGGAGCTGGCAACTGATCAACTCAGCACGATTTCCCTTTGGATGCCCTCGGTGTATAGAGGAGAGTGACAAGCCTACTACTACGACAATTTTGAGTGGCAAGAGGGCCAACGCCGGGAAATAGTAATTCTTTCCAACATATGAATTGTCTGGAAACTGCCCATTATAAAAATCGGTCAGCACATAATCCATCATCGTTCCCAAGGTCTCGCTGTAGAATCATCGCCAATATCTCTATGCCGCAAAGTCCGGATGCGCTCGGCTGAACAATAGGATACTAACTACACGATTTATCAGGACTGCAACCTCCTATGGGAACAAAAGTTTGTTTAATAATTTGACAGTTATCATAGATGAAGAACTGGAAATATGATAGAAGAGGCTACATAACCTGGCACTTCCCCCTTCGCTTACGACTCCGCTCCTTAATAGTGTTATCGTTCCAATCCTGAATCCGTCGGCGCCATTCCTCGTTCGTTGGTGGTGGTAAGCTACTGGGTTCTGTTGAAACTCGCCTCTGAAAAGACCGCTGCCTCTGAGGTATCTCATGCTCATCATCTGCTGCAGTGCCCTGTCCCTCTTGATATGGCTGTGGGATGTGGAGAAGGTTTGGCGATGACACAGAGTATGGGAAGTAGGCATCGCCAAGTGCATCACCTAGTGCCGACGCCCCCAAATATGGAAGTGGCATGGTGTTTTCTTGTGGTTGTAGTTGGGCTGGATATACAGCAAACGTAGGTGTGGTGGGTTGGATCGCCGTAGGTGGACGCGAAGCAGATCGAGGCTGTTCTGGTGAGAGGCCGTTTGTGAACGAATCTTGGGGTACCAATTGATCTGGGTTAAAGTCTCTGCCAATGGAACTTCCCCACCTGGCGCTAGTTATATTGCCTAGTCTCTGTAAATTGACAGATTGTGGGCGTGGACGGGCTGCTTGCTGCGCAGCAGGAACGGTTTCTTCTCTTCCAAGGGGGAGGGAAGAATTGGCGGCATCGACTGGCGGGAGAAGCAGTCGCTGTAGATGTTCTGGCAATGGGTCCACTGTCTCGCGTTTATAAGGAGGAGGTGGTGGCACCCAAGCATCGGCGTCACTCTCATGGGGAATATGCCGAGGGTTGTGGGAACTGCGATACCGAGGGTCGTATCGCCCACGGGTTGATGCAGCCGCAGTGGCAGCTCGATGGAGAACTTCACTGGAACGAGGCTGAGTATTGTCATATGGAAGGTCGATTATCTCGCCTCGAGTAGTCTCGCTGGGAGAGGTAGGAACTGCAAGACTGTTGCGGCGGAGGTGAAGTGGCAGAGTTCGGGATTCTCTAGTAGTTGCTGAATGACTAAGGCCCGCGAAATTTGTAGCAGTATCGCCGCGGTGTAGTCGTGTTCGCCTTCTTTCAAGCTCAACTTCCGTGGCCAAAGAGGAGTCCGGCTCCATGAGGATCTTGGGTGCCGTTTCTCCGACTTCGATATCAAGCACAATCGTTTCACCGTCCATGGTGGAGCGCTCAAAATCAAGGAGGAGGATGCGACCACCGTCGACTGGGATATCTTCTCCGCCGAAGTTCTGTGAACGCACACCACCAGGCGCTACCGCGACGAGTCTCCGACGGAGTTTCGAGTCTGAACGCACCCAGTGAGCGGATGTGATTCCGTGCATGTCACTCACCCGCCGTCCCCGGATCAAGATCTTAGGTTGTTGAACGATTTTCTGAAGCTGTGCTAGATTGTCGCGTGGCGCGCAACCTCCATAATGATGACCACCACCAATCTCGGTACCAGTGATTTCACTAGCACCCAAGCCAGGCATCCCATATATCCACAATTCTGAATCCTGGAACCCTAAAGCAGAAAGTTCTGCCGCATCATCCGTGGCGGGTCTCATGCTTGGCCGCATCTCCCGAGATTCATCTGTGAGGAATGGACTGGCAAAATAAACGATTCCCGCATTCTTGTTTAATTGAAGCGCCCGGAACGCCCCCAATTGTTGATCATATCCCATTACCCAGAGATCTTCGGCTTCCTCGTGACCAGCAATAAGAGAGCCGTGAGTTATATGGCAATCAATTGTTTCAGGAAAGAGAATTTGGGTTGTCCACATTCGCATCTCGAGTTCTTCGGGCGAGGCGTCCGTTCCGGTCTCAGTATAGAAAGGAGGGGTGATGGTGACGATACTTTCAGCTGCGAAGCCGAGAAGCATCGCTCCATCAGGTGAAAATGAAAGTGCATCAACGCGGGGACAACGCACCGCCCGGCGGTCGGTTGGCAACGCCTCTTGACCAACAGCGTATACCTCAATACTATCCTCGAAGGCTAAAGCTAACACACTACCTGCTGGAGAGAATTTGATATCCCTTGGAGCATCATTCAGCGTGATAACTTGGATGTGCTTGGCTTCATCGTCAGAGAGCTGGTAGATATGAACTCTATGCGTGGAAGACAAAACAGCAATGAGCGAGCCATCATCACGGAGTGTGGCTCCCAGTGGCCGCCTTCGAGTCATAAGCTCATGCTTGACGGCGACTGGGTCAGTGGCCACGTCTAGTACAACAATGCGAGAAGAGGTGATGCAGAGAACCGTTTGACCATTTCCAGAAAATGAGAATCGAAAAACCTCACCCTGTGGGAACGCCGTCGACGAGCTCATAGAACTTGAAATTAGTCGCACGAGAGTTTGCCGGGGCCGTAAGAATGCATCGAAAGCATTCTGCCTGACCTCCTTAACAAATTGGCGCTTGAGTTTAGTGAGGCTTTCGGTCTCAGGAATGACCCCGCGAGCCCAGGAAAATGATGAACAGCGTGACAATTGATAGGCATATAATGCCTCGGAATCGGATGCATGCTTCCACCGTCGGTTTAGTAGAGATAGGGATGCAAATGTATTGGCATCTGAAGCATATAGGATGCTATTGACTCGGTAAGAATTGCAGTCAATGACTGACCGTAAGGCCACATGTCGGACGAACACAAGGTTGCGACTACCCGGTGAGATATTAACTTACAGCTCAATCACATTAAGTGGTAGCCGATCAAAACACGTCTTTAGGCTGGGCGAGGCAGAAGAGCCCTGATGGACAAAAGTGTCCTCGGTGGGGGAGGTATCCTCCATGATCACCGCTTTGTACCTACATACAACGGATCAGGCACGCCGCGGGCATTGTTGAGAGAAATATGAACTTGTGGCTGTGCAGTTTCTCGCCCCATGAGGCAATGCGGGACACCAACGTCAATGAATCAACCCATGCCGATCGCCTGCATTGTCGACGCCAAGTCCAAAGATAAAAATAGAAAGAGCCTGAGGCCGAAAGCTATTATGTCAGCTTCACGTGGGGTGAGTCAGCATTCCCCACACGGATCCATCCATGGATGCCCGCAGTTCAATTTTTTGATAAGAAAATGAGATTGCCGGATTCTGATATCTGGGGAGACTGTACGAGATGATGTGCATCTAGCCTTGACTCATCCCGAATCTAGTTCCTTAGACATTGAGAGCTCCCAATTTTGTTCTCGCCTTCTTCTCCCCATTTTGCAGCCCGCGTGCTCATACCCCTCACTCTGTCCAACCGCTAATCGGCCGACTCCGAAAGCACCCCGACAAAATCTCCAAATTACCATCTTTCGCTTTCCCCGTATTACCTCATCCGCATAACTTCACACTTGGGCATGCATCATGTCGCCTGCACCAGTCCAAGTCAATTCCTCCTCCAAACTCCCATCTCCCGGATTCAATGCCGGCGCCCGACCCTACCGTTCCCACAAGGTCCGCGCCTGTGACTTGTGTCGCAAGCGCAAGTCTCGATGTACCGTTGATATCCCCGGTCAATCATGTCTTCTATGTCGCGTGCAAGGTGCCGACTGTCACTATCAAGAGGAGGCCAACGCGGATACTTCGGTCTTGAGTGCCCCGGACTCAAAATCCTGGGCAGGGCCGCCAGCGATGGAGCCCGTGCCGGGGCAGAAGCGTAAGCGCAGTGACGATGGACTCGCCCACCTGAGCCAGAATATGCCGCCCCGGCAGCCGGCCAATGGTCCCAGCCCCCCATGGAACGACTTCGTCAGGTGGTCGTCGAGGAAGTGATTCCCGGCGGAAAGATATGGACGATCCCCAGAACGAGTCGGTTCTCATTGTTGGCCCTATGGTCGCTGAAGATGCCCAAGTCATTGAAAAACACATGCCTCCAGAGCGGATGAGTCAATCGGAAGAGCCCAAGAGTCACCCGTACAATATCTACTCTAGTGATCCGCGGAAACCAGTCCTTTACACCACAATCTCGCGGCGAAGGAAAGGTATGCGGAGAGGAACGCCTCCTGGTGAGAATCAGAAGGAGATCCTCGAACAAATACTTGGGCCGTTTAAGCACGACCTAGTGAGACTGTACGTTGAGCATTGACTTTTCCTCCCATTTTCTACCCTGCTAATATCTTCCACTCTAGTTTCATTGATCGCTTTAACGTTTCTTTTCCGATCTTCGACGGCGAATCGTTTTGGGAATCATACATGGCCGATGACTTGCACGACCCACCAGCTGCACTGGTGTGTCAAGTCTATTCCATGTCCCTCGTATATTGGAAACACACACAAAAGCTTGCGTGCCACCCGAAACCCGACGTTCGATATGCGATCAACATGACCGTCGCAGCGTTGCATGAGGAATTCTCAGCCCCCGGATTAGACACAATCAGCGCTGCGCTTATCGACCTGACTGGACGGCCCATTTTCTCCATGACAGGGAACGCCGTCAGCTGTGGCCGTATGTTATCTTTGGCAAATTGCCTTGGTCTGAACCGTGATCCTAGCAATTGGAAGCTCTCACAAGCAGAAAAAAAACCAGCGGATTCGTTTGTGGTGGGGAGTTGTAATTCACGATCGTTGGTAAGATTGACCTGCTTTTCTTGTGGCTTGCAACAGACCTGACAATAAATAGGGGAAGCTTTGGTCATGGTGTTCCACCTCAGATTTCCAAAAATCAATACGACGTGCCTCTACCCACCGTGGACGTATTGGTCCCATCAAACCTCCGCACTACAGAACGTGTGAGAGCAGCACACTGCCATATCTACCTATGCCGGTTGACTGAGACTTTGGGCGAGCTGTTACCACTGGTCTATGGGTTGCAACACAAACCCGCACGCGAGACATCCAAGAAGCTCAGACAAATACGAACAGACCTAGATATATGGGAAGATTCCTTACCAGATTGGTTGAGAGGGCCTACAGTCCACTCCGGGGAGCGGATCTATGGAGCAAGCAGTTTGCAACTAGCTTTCCTAGCTGTCAAAATGCTTGTCAGCCGAGTTGAACTAAATGTGAGCCGGAGAGGAGAGAAATCGAAAGGAGTGATCTCTAACAACCTTGCAGGAAGTCAACAACTCCGAAACGGAAAACACCGAAGCACGTCGCTATTTCCAAACAGAATGTAGAAGGTCAGCAGAGGAGATTGTTGGATTCATCACGTCTTTGCGAAAGGATAATTTCACAGAGTTTTGGCTACCCTGTAAGTTGAAGCATCATCTCTGGTCATTCCTTGTTTCCTAATGTTCTTGACAGATAGCGCCTTTCATCTCACGTCAACGGCGACATTGCTGGTTCGTTGTGCATTCGAGACTACCGACAGCGATGTTGCACGGTCTTGTCTTTCCAACGTCGAAACCCTGCGCTCAGTCTTGCGTCGTGTGCGGGAAGAAGAAGACTGGGATGTAGCAGACATGTGTCTGGACCACTGCGAACGCATTATGCACCGGCTTCCCGGGACCGGTGCCACAATGGACCAGGCATTCACAACCACGATGGCAGACAGTGGGTTGGTCAACCCGGCCGCAATATCGCTGCCAGAGACACAAACAAACAACGACATCGTTGACGACATGATGTCGATATCTAATACTTTTGGAACGATGGACGGTTTCCCCTTTGACATGACAGGAATATGGGATGTCTCCGTCTTCCAAGATGTGAACCTGACATGATCAGAAGATGATTGAACATATACTCTTAATTACTTATTTCAACAATATATATACCCTGGGATCCAAAGCCCAACGACCTTGATATCAGTTCAATCTCAGTCTTTCTCATATTAAAATTTCTGACTAAAATTTTGTACAATAAAACTAACAAACCCCAAACCCTATTTTACACTCGTTCATTAATGCCCAGAACGAACCCCTGATGATCTATCTGCTAGACACACAAGAAAAGTAATTGGCTCGCGTCGGTTACTGTTCCTTGGAGCCACCACCAAACATGCCAGTGAAAGAACCCTTCATGCTCTGCATCTGTTCCTGGCGGGCTTTCTCCTCCTCAGCTGCCATCTCAGCAAGCCACTTCTCGCCGTTTAGACGGATCTCTGACTCGATCATCTCGTAGTTCTTTTGACCACGCTCGCGGATCTGATCCCAAAGCATCTTGCCCTGAGCCAGACCCTCGGAGGGTGTCTGCTCACCGTTCAGGGTGGAAGAAGACTTCAAGCCAAGTGCAGCAGCAAAGTTGCCCAGACCACGCGAGGGCCTCTTCTTCTGCTCCTCGGCAAGGTCCTTCTCGAAGCGCTCACGCATCGCCTTCTCGCGCTTGGCAAACTCGACGGGAATGGGAGTGCCTTCAAACGACTTCAGCACGGTACGCACATCTTCGACACCCATACCAGCAAGGTATTCCAGGAAGGGGATGAGGGCGACCAGCGTCTTATCCTTCGGATCACCTGTCCACTTATCCAGAATAATGGCGTTCTCGGGCTGGTGGCGGGCGTGCTCCTCCTTGGTGTCAATGAGAATAACCTTGGAAAGGTCACGGTTGAGATATTGCAAGTCCTACAAGACAATTAGCATTCTATGACTAAGGGAAGAAAAGAAGAAGTCGACATACCTTGATGTACTCTCCATCCTTGTACCGGGTCGCCTCGCGGAACAAGGGCCAGCGAATGATACGGTAGGGGTCGAGTTTGCGTAGGACTTGGTCGGCCATCATACTGGGCACACTGGTGAACAGGACGAGCTCGTAGTATTGGTTCAGGTAGCGGAGGAAGTAGTCGACACCAGGCCGCTTGGCAACCCGCCATCCATGCTCACGGGTCCACTCGCTGTGAACGAGGAGATCCTCAAGACTGAGCACCAGGGTGTATGGCTGACGCATCTCGGCGTCCTCATCCGGAAGCAGCTTGGGGAACGCAGGGTCCTTGTAGTAGCTGGTAAGATCGCTGGTGCGGGCCTTGATACGGTTGTACCAAAGACCGGGACTCCATCCAGATGGGGTCTCAGGGTGTTGCTGCGCCTCCTCTTCGGTTTCCCAGTTACGACCCAGGTAAACCATACCAGCAATACCAGCAAACAGCATGCCTGCGTATACTATATTGGCCATGCGGGCCTTGCGGCGGTCGATAGATGTCTCATATCCGCCCTTGGGGATGTCACCACCTCCTCTGCCTTCCGTCTCATACTCTTCTGACTGGGTAGGGTCTTCTGTGAGGTTCAATGGTCCCTTCTTCATACGCCCTTCCAATTCTGCGGCCAGCGTCGATGGGATACCTTGTGTCAGATCGGGGAGAGGCTTCTGCGGGGGTTGTTCGGCCTAGAAAGACAACGTCAGAGGGGATTCCTTTCTGTGAAAAGTGAAGAAGATCTCACAGGTTCGGAAGGCTGTGTAGATTCGGCTTTTGTATCAAACTCGGGTTGCTCTGCGGCGAACTCTTTTGGAGCTGCTTTGGGAGTATTCGACTTCGATTTATTCGACTTCGCCCTTAGCTGGATACCCGGGGAAAGCTTGTAAGCAGTGTACGGCGAAGGCCGCACCGACAGGGTTGATGCCCGAACGGCAGATGCGAAGACATTTGACCTCGTTAGAGGCAAGACTGCACGACTAAGCATTGTGTATTTGGTTGAAACAAATATGACCTGAATGATGGGATGAACCTCAGGTCTCCCGTTAAAAGTCGGCGCGACTCGGTACGGCGCCGTAGCCGGACCATCCGTGCAGTTTGTTTATATATCGACCGCCTCGGCCATCGAGTCTTCTCCTTTTTTCTTTTTCTTCTTCAGAAAGTTCACCCAGACATTAATTTGACCTATCAAGCCTTTTCTCTCTGCATGTCGGGTTGTATTAGCTGGGGAGACCAACGAAGATATTCTTCATTCCCACTACCAAGAGCGCAGCAAAGGTTTTTCCCGTGAAGCTGCGCTCCGATCGTGGGACACAAATCTTTTTAGTTTTCTTTTCTCTCTCTTTTTTACATGACTACCAGAAATATGATCTTCCTGTCCAAATCTAGACTCGTTCGTATCTCATAGAATTCACCTGCATACTTCGCAATCATGGGGTTCAAAAAGAAAATGATCCATTTTGAGGAGCAACTCTCCGACGTCGACTCCGAACCAGAAGAACCTGAAATCTTACAGCAATTCCCTTTCCTCCGTCTACCGTCCGAGATCCGCCTACATATTTATCATTATGTCCTGTTCACGCCGACTCGGAAGAGTACATTGAAGCGCACTGGTGGCAACGTTGGGTCTTCGGCGAAGAAGAGCAAACCTTTAGCACCATCTTCGCACCGCGTCGCCCTGTTCCTTGTCTCGAGACAGGTCCACGACGAAGCCACTCACTACTTCTATTCAACCCAGACATTCCGTGTGTTCCCCGTCCAGGACTTCTTGCGCATGCCCACGATTCGGGCTTTGCCTCGACGCCACCGCTCTTCGATCACCACGATTGAATTGATTGTGGGATCAAGTTGGACTGCACCCCCAAAGCCATGGGTTGTAAACCAGGGATTGGGATTACACGACATGGAGCTTGTGCGCACGTTGAAAGTGTTTGTACAGTGTGACCCTTCACACCCTGTGTTCGAGGGCTTTCGCATATCCAAGGATTACTATACCAACTTCTGTGGCAAATTGTTACATCAAATCTTGGAACGGCTGCCGGGTCTAGTTCAGGTCGAATTCGATGCCTGGCCCTCTGTAGAGAAGAATGGACCTTTGATGACTCGCCTGCTTGAGGAAACTCGGAATGCTCAGAAAAAGGTCCTTTGGGGCCCTGATAGAGGCTGGAGCGACACTCAAGATGACACTCACGAGAAACATGAGCTTAATGACGTGGATGCTGCCTTTGATGGCCTGCGGGCCTACTCCCCTGATGTTGTCGAAGCCTTGAGCAACTCGCTTCAGACAGTCAAGTTGGAGTCATGATAGACCATTGTTCGGTGGATATTGTCCATATTGTTACGATTATATATACATTGCGCGGCGCATAGATCACATGGAAAAGAATTATAGACACGCACTTACTTCCAACAATAGCCCAAACGCCATTCTTGTTGACAATGGATTTATTATTGTTATGTCAAAGTTTGAGTAGATTTCATTCGTCTGTTGGTTTGGTTTGGTAACATAAAGCCCAACCAATCGGTAATAATTAAAGTGGTTTGGTTGACACACTTTTCTAGCTCTTTAGAGATCTTCATCAACTTCCATGGCAGCACCGTTTGCGTCTTCTTTGAATGATTGCCGTGCCACCGAAGCCTCCTTGTCAATCATCTGCCGCGAGACGGCAACAATGTTATCCTCGATCAATTGTTGACTTACGTCCTCGATGTCTATAAAGCGTCAGTATATGTGTTCTAGGGTTATTGTCACCAGGAAAAACGTACGCTTCTTGGGATCAAGCTTGCCAACATATCTCGTCTTCAGCTGATCCTTGTTCAGCTCCGTCTCTTCCTTGATCCGCTTCTCGTAGCCCTCTGCAAGGAGAACAAGCTGCTTCATGCGTTCCACGTTGTGCTGACCTTCCTCGTGGAAGTCGCTCATCTCCAAGGCCTCGGTCCATACATGCTTGTGAAGGTTCATCAACATGTTCTCTTCCAATCCCGTCTTACGGTAATCAATCGCAATGCTGTAATAGTGGCGGTTGAGACCGTGGATCAGAGCCTGAATCGAAGGCTTGTTGAGGTGACCCAAGTTTGATGTAGTTTGGCGGGGCTCCTGACCCATGACCACGGTCTGAGGCTGGATGAGACGGAATGCGTCAATGACGACCTTGCCCTTCACTGACTGAATAGGATCGACGACAACGGCAACCGCACGCGGTGTGAGCTGCTCAAAGGACTGCTGGGTGTTGATATCGACCGAGGAGAGCCAGCAGCCGAAACCGGGATGCGAGTGGTACCAGCCAACAACGGTTTCTGGTCTGCACAAACTATCAGCATGGGGGATTCCTTTATTGTATATGAGCTGATAGGCTTACCGTCCCGTCTGCCGAAGCATTTCCATCATTCTAGTTTGGAACACGGGGTCCACTGCCTCGACACTAACACCAGTACCACTCTGCGGCATAGCAAAGACGTCCACTACCCGAACTGTGTATTCATCAACGAACTCGCCCAGCATCAGGCCCATGACCTCCATCGGGACACCCGCGCGGCCATGTCGTAGCATCTTCAGTAGAGCCAAGGAAGAGATGTGGACAGTTTCGGAGTTATCGATCAGGTTTGGGGTATCCTAAACAATGGCTCTCATTAGTCAATGCAGAGAAACATGGTGAAGCTAGGCTAAGGTGTTGCCATTAATGCCTCCCAACAAGGAGATTAGAGTCTTATCCAACTTACACCACCAGGAGCAGCGCCTCCCATCCCCATGCCTTGAGCGGCCTGGAGCATCCGGTTAAGGCGATCCATAGTTAAAAGATATCTGACAAGACTTGATGAAACGAGAGTAGAGAGGGCGAAGCTATCGCTATTTGGAAGCTCCGGAGCAAATCGATTTGTCTCTAGTAGCTTGGTATTGCCAAAACAGTGTTCAAAGGAAGATACAAGGTAGCAAAGATCCCCGACAGACGTGATATTAGCGTGAAGATAACAAGGTTGTCGAAGACGTGTTAAGTGATGATGAGCAAAGCCGTGGGAGCTTTGCCTGACGAAGGCGGTGTGTGGTTCGGTTGGCTTCCGCTCCTTCGCGGGCGATTCTCTCTCCTCGATCTATTCTTCAATAGCCTGAACAATGACATTGGCTTGCTATTGTGATTAACTACACTACCTGATATTCGCATTGCGCGATCTGGTGACAATAGGTGCCATCGCTGCCTATTTACCCTCCTGGAGTATATCTGCATTGCGCCTGCCACGCTACTTCATCCTTCCCCGGATCTCACTTACACTTCTTGAACTTCACCTTTTTTCCACTCTCGACCCAGTGACCCCTCCTTCGCTTTCTGCAATATGGCTTTGGAACCTATCTCTGATAGGCTCCTTGGGTCTAAGAATAAGAAAGTCGCTTACTTCTACGACTCCGATGTGGGAAACTATGCCTATGTCTCGGGCCACCCCATGAAGCCTCATCGCATTCGCATGACGCACAGCTTGGTGATGAACTATGGCCTCTATAAGAAAATGGAAATTTATGTGAGTGCTCTTCTAATTTTTTTCCCCTATCTGTTTGACCCTTACACTAACAAATCAGCGTGCGAAACCTGCCTCCAAGTACGAGATGACCCAGTTCCACACCGACGAATATATCGACTTCTTGTCCAAGGTCACACCCGACAACATGGACCATTTCTCGAAGGAACAGAGCCGATACAATGTTGGAGACGATTGCCCCGTGTTCGACGGTCTTTTCGAGTTCTGCGGAATCAGCGCTGGAGGTAGTATGGAAGGCGCCGCACGACTGAACCGCAACAAATGTGATGTTGCCGTCAACTGGGCTGGTGGTCTTCACCACGCCAAGAAGAGCGAAGCAAGTGGCTTCTGCTATGTCAATGGTATCTTGCTTCGGTCCTCCAAATGTCTGTCCCAGAAGCTAACATTCATGAAGATATCGTGCTCGGAATCCTGGAGCTTCTTCGCTTCAAACAACGAGTCCTTTACGTAGATATTGATGTCCACCACGGCGATGGTGTCGAAGAGGCCTTCTACACGACTGATCGCGTCATGACCTGTTCTTTCCACAAGTACGGCGAGTACTTCCCTGGTACCGGTGAGCTTCGCGACATCGGTGTTGGGCAGGGCAAAAACTACGCAGTTAACTTCCCTCTCCGGGACGGCATCACCGATGAGACATACAAGAGCATCTTTGAGCCCGTTATTAAGAGCGTGATGGAGTGGTACCGCCCCGAGGCCGTTGTCCTTCAGTGCGGTGGTGACAGTCTATCGGGTGATCGCTTGGGCTGCTTCAACCTGAGTATGCGAGGACACGCCAACTGTGTTAACTTCGTCAAGAGCTTTGATCTGCCAACTTTGGTTCTTGGCGGTGGTGGTTACACCATGCGCAACGTTGCACGGACATGGGCTTATGAGACCGGTATCCTTGTCGGAGAGCCCCTGGGGTCAGAGCTGCCATACAATGACTACTATGAGGTAAGATTCTTGTTTCTTCCAGGATAACTAGTACTAACTGCATTAGTATTTCGCTCCTGATTATCAGCTTGATGTCCGCCCCTCCAACATGGACAATGCCAACACCAAAGAATACCTGGACAAGATTCGCAACCAGGTTGTCGAGAACCTCAAGCGCACGGCATTTGCTCCTTCAGTTCAAATGACGGATGTCCCACGGAACCCGATCTTGGACGGCATGGACGACGAGGCTGATGACGTTATGGATGACCTCGATGAGGATGAGAACAAGGACAAGCGGTTCACACAACGACGATTCGATCAACGCACCGAAAAGGCTGGCGAGCTTAGTGATAGCGAGGACGAAGACGAAAACGCCGCCAACGGAGTTCGTCGCCAACCAGGCGGCATGCGTCGTCGCAACCAAGTCAACTACCGAAACCTCGAGCCGGACTCTGGGCTGGATAGTGGCATGGCAACTCCCCAAGATGGCTCATCTGCGGCTGACGGAGAAATGGACTTCGCCCTTGATGCTAAGATAACCGATGCCCCACGCACTGAACCCGAGGCGCCTTTTGCCGGCCCTGAGCCTTCGCACGCCGGTCAAACCCCCATGACTGATGCTGATAACATGGCTATGGAAAGCGAGGAACAGGAAGGCCCTACTGCCTCTCAGCATCAGTCTCCTCACCCTCATGATGAAGATACTACCATGGAGGATGCTGCTGCTGTCGCTGAACCCACTACCTCGGAACAAGCTCCAGCTAAAGCGCCAAGTATTGAGGAGAAATCTCTGGTCGAGGGCTCCCCTGTGCGAGCCCATTCCCCTCCGAAAGAGGCCGTTGATTCTATCATTGAGAAGAGTGCCGAAGCTTCTGCCCCTACTGCGGACACGGAGGCAACGGCGACCAAGGAAGAGAACTTGGAGCCCATGGCAGAACCCAAGAAAGAGGAGTAATCGGCTGTGATGCAAAGACGACAATATCGGATCTGGCGCAACGGACAATGGCAGAAAGGTGTTATCGGTTTAACAGCGTGCTCGCATCTTGCTTGACACGGGAGGGCATTACTCGTGGCGGAATGGCAGACTCAAATCGAGGTTTAACCTTGAATTGTTTCGGGGGATGACGAGTTGTTTTTATGGACTTTCAATGAATCATTTCATATTTTATCTTCATCCATGTGCTATCTGCATTTTCTTTCATCTATTCTTTTTTAAGATTGCGAATGTATTATTCGGTGAAATGCAATCTTCCAAACATCACAACATTTAAACCCTAGAAGTATATGATTAGCGCCTCAGGCATTAACATTTGACACCATTCCAAATGAGGTTAGCATTAGGGCAAAGTCGATGGAGCTGGGCGGCCAATCACCTCCCAACGCCAAGATTTTACGCACTTTGCCCACTAAGCGAGAAAGCACACCTCCAGTTTGGATCCTCGACGTTCGACCTCTTGTCGCCAACCTTTTTCACCCAACTTCCCCCGTGATCATCAGCCATCATGTCTAAGAGAGGGTGAGTCTCCCAGCGATTCCCTCCGTGGCCCCATTCGATTCCGAACCGATACAGAATTATTTGCAAGCATGGACAAGCAACACAACACCTTTGTGTCGAGAGGATAGAATGGGGCTCGGATTGGGAAAAGAACGAATCGACAAGAAGGAAATTCACTAACGATTGAACAGTCGTGGCGGTGCCGCCGGCAACAAGCTCAAGATGACTCTCGGTCTGCCTGTGTACGTCTACAAATTCCTTATCGTCTAGTCTGTTTCGAATGCGCCTTTCTTGCCCGCCGGATCCCACAAGTTATTTTCCAATCGATCAAACGTCCTCAGCAAAATATACGCCATGCAACAGAAAAGAAAAGATCGGCGGGAAGAAAGGAAACGAAAATTGGATCTCCGCTTTCAGCATTCGAAACACGACGTCTTCAAGATCTAGAACAATTCACTAACGGGTCCCTTTTTCGTCAAACAGTGGCGCCGTGATGAACTGCTGCGACAACTCCGGTGCTCGCAACCTGTACATCATCTCCGTCAAGGGTATCGGTGCCCGCCTGAACCGTCTCCCCGCTGCCGGTGTCGGAGACATGGTCATGGCCACCGTCAAGAAGGGAAAGCCCGAGCTCCGCAAGAAGGTTATGCCCGCTGTCGTCGTCCGCCAGAGCAAGCCCTGGCGCCGCCCCGACGGTATCTTCCTGTACTTCGAGGACAACGCAGGAGTTATCGTCAACGCCAAGGGTGAGATGAAGGGTTCCGCCATCACCGGTCCCGTCGGAAAGGAAGCTGCTGAGCTCTGGCCCGTACGTTATACACCCCACATGGGAATGGATTCTTTTCCATTTTCACCCGTCCGAGCCTAAACTAACAAACACTTCTTTTCTAGCGTATTGCCTCCAACTCCGGTGTCGTTATGTAAAGAGAGAAAATCCGAATTTTAAAGAAAAAGAACGATACCAAACCTCAAATCTGCTTGGGACCTGGAATGCGGTGCATATGAGACCATAGGATTAAAATGGGAGCTGGACAGGTGGTGTCCATTTGACGAAATCCAACTGTTTTTATTTTAAAGCCGGTTTTATCCTCCATCTTCGTCTTTTCTCCCTCCCTTTGCTGGCGTCTCTCGGAAGTATTACTTTAAAATCACATCCTTTTGCACCGCCTTGCCCGTTACCTCGAGGGCTGGCCTAAAGGTTTTAGGCAGGCTGTATGGGAGGGGACTTGGTCCTGGTTGTTTGTTCTTTGGCATATATGAACTCTGATATGACCACCAATGGCTCTACGTAGACCCTTCGCATACCCTTTGTAGACCTTTCGTAAATGTTGGTTTCTACTCTGTACATACACAGCCGCGCAACCAGGCACAACCTCAAAGGTCACGTCATATGGTTCCATATCTGGTTGACACCGTTGTGAAGATATATATTTTGCAATATATGTATCCAAATGCAAGCGCTCTTTCTATCCAATGCTATTGATACAACAAAAACAAAAAAACCAATCTACAACCCAATTATTTCTTCTGCCCATTTTGAGTCTTCTGTACTGACTCAACTTTCCGAGTAGCCGTCTTCACCTGAGCACTACTGGACAATAACCAAAGTAGAGCCACACCCAAAGTTACTAGCACGAGGACATGAACCACCCACCAGATATGCTGCACGCCAGCTGGACACATAGTGATCTCATAGCTCCACTCGCCAGCGACCTCGTCAAACCACGCCGAAAGGAGACCGGCATTACCACCAAACTCTCCCATCATCGAGCGGAGAGTCACCTCCCGGATAGAAGGATCATCAATGTGCTGGCTCTTATTGCTCTTATTGAAGCGCTCCGCAGCCCACTTCCAAGCTTGAGATGAACCGTTGTCGTCGGCTGTTTCAGTGCGGTTGACGAAATGAACAACATCACATCCTGTGTGGTCATGTCCCGTAAGAATGAGCCCGTTCCGGCCTTGGCCACCAGCAAGCGCATTCTCGTCGCCGCTCAGCCCAAAGATGCCTTGCAGCACGCCGCTAGCGCTGAGCGTGTCGCTGAGATGGTTCTGCTCCTTGAGACCACCGTCTAGCCACCGGGGCACACCGTCCGGACCATCCCTGTCGTCAGATTCGCGGAACGAGAAATACGGCCCGTCCGTGCACACCCCATCTTCCTTGTGCAGGGGTAGATGTGTCAGAAGCAAAGTAAAAGCCGACCGGTCCTCGACCGGCGAGAGTCGATTGGCGATCAGCTCGTTCAGATAAGAATACGTATGGCCCTGGACCTCCGCAGAAAGCGCGGGGGTGTCGAACATGAGGGAATTGAGGTTAATCAGGTGCAGAGTAGGGGTAACAAGCTGGTCTCCAGTAGACGAAGACGCAGACGAGGACACGATGGGCGGGTGTTCGAACCGCACATCCCAGTTCGCACGGCCAAACACACGCTCAAACCGCTCCATCCGCGCCTCGCTGATGTCCCCTGCATATCCAATATCATGGTTTCCGGCGACATTGATAACGCGCCTGGCCCAGGCCCCATCCGCGCCCAGGGGTTCCAATGGCGGCGCATTGTTGCCTTCGCCCTGGCTCCAACCTGCAGCACCGGTTCTCATGATGTTGTCGTCGACCCGTTCTCCGCCGCGGAACACTCGGTTCCAGTACCGGTGTCCGCGCCAGGCGAATTCGTCGTCGGAGATCCACTGGCTCCCCACCAAATCGCCCAGCACTGTTGTGTGCGTCGGCCGGGTCCACCAAAAGAGCGTGCGGTAGATATGCGCGAGGTAGTAGTCGTTGCCGAAGAGGTCGAGGCGTTTCACGCCTGCCTTAAAGGCGCGTGGAATGTCTTCAGTTGCGAGGGTTTGGAGACCGGTTGTGATGTTTGAGAGGACGTCCTCGTTCAGTAGAGGGGAAGTGGAGGCGTTGCCGATTGCTTCCTGGACGGCGCGCCAGTGCGTCTTCATGCGAGGGTATAATTCATATTCGGGGAAAGGGAGCGAGGAGTCGCCTTCCAATTGGGGGTCTGCGAGGACTAGGAGTCTAAAGATGGCGGGTTGACTGTTTGTGTCTGAGGTTGAAACGCCAAGGTGTTGGAAAAGCGTGCTGATCACTGAATTACGATATAGCTGCTTCTCACTTGATTGTGAGACAGACTGTGGTAGAGGAAAGGCGCACCCGTTGAAGACTGGGTAGAGATAGACGTAAACAGTGGCGGTCACTGTAAGTGGAAGAAGGAGCGCAAAGGTGCGGGAGAGCAGCCAGCGGAGGGACATGAGGAATCTAAAATGACAGAAGAAAGATAAATGTTATAAAGACCTATACAGCATATTGAAAAGAGTTGTCTTGAACGGTGGAAAAGGAGAAGAAACAAAAGTGCGCACATCGCTAATCGATAAAGATAGCACATATTTACGGTGACACCATACAACATAGGATTGAACTACCCAAGACAAGAAGAGCAACTTATAATTGAGTCACGATAAACAACCTCAGCAAGGATTGACAATTGTGTAATAATACATATCGAGAAATATTTAAAGTAAGCTATTTATATCCAACGTCGGTAGGATGGTGGCTAGGTATATAATGCCCGTAGTAAGAGTTGGCGGTACTTTGGGCGGTGAGAACTATAAGAATGATGTATAGAAGCAAAATAGCCAGACTTGAATAAATTATTATAGTATCTACATTTGCAGACGAAATTAGTATAGGGAAGAACGCTCAGCTCCAGTCAACTTCGTGTCCATAAGCAAGTTAATCACATACTCCCACATAAATCCCCCGACCAACGTACCTGCAATGACGAAATTGGAGTCAACAAAGGGAATAAGTCTGAGCGAGGGGTATATCACATCAAACGCCAGCAAAAAGAAAGAAAACAAGAATGGCCAAAAGGTGTCCTTCAAATAATTCCAAGCAAGGTCACACAAATAATAGGGGCCCAAAATAAATATTCACTTAGATTCTGTTTTGGCCAGAGGATCCGGAAGCAAGGACGAGTGGCCACTGTCCAAGTCTCCAAGGGGGTTAGAGAGAGGTCGCCCGAGGCCTCCATCTGTGTTGTTAATATCCTGACTGCCGTTTGTGTCCTCGAACGAGTTGGCATCAGACTGACTAAGATCCAAGCCCTCAAGGTGGAGACCCGCCTCTTCCTCTTCCTCATTGATGGTCTGCGAGGTCTTGGTGCTGCCCGAAGCAGGCATCAGCTCCGGCGGTCGCTGGTTCATAAGCCGAGCTTGTTTCAGACTAATAGTCTTTTGCTTGTTGGTAGATTCCACTGCCTGTCCCAAATCACGCTCAATGGTCGCCTTCATCAATGCTGCCATCCACAGACGACCCTGCTGGACATTGTCGACCTGGAAGTAGTGGGTGGCTGGTTTTGTGAACTGCACGGTGCGCGAGTTGCCTGACTTTGGGGGCACCAGCTTGAAGAAGAACGGGCCATTTCCGTCCTTAGTGGTCAATGATTGAATGACCGAAGGGGTGGTGAGCTTCGTGCCGCCAGGGGTATCCACGGTGTTGTTGGCATTGGCTGGCAACGCGGTGGAGCCGGTGATGGTTGCGTGTAGAGCGATAATCGGATCTTGATCCGCTCGCAAGACACGGTGAGCAGTGATGTCGATCAAGCCTCTTTCCTCGGTGTCGTCCTCGGAATAGTAATAGGACAGACGACGACCGCGCAGTACAAACAGACGGGGTTTCCAGGTGGTCATCAAGTTGGAGGATCTCTTCTTCATCCATCCACTGTAGTCACAACCATCCATTTGTTCATGCGGTGTCTTCTTCTCAAGACCCCGCGTATAGGCGCTAGTCTCCTTCTTGGACTTGACGGTCCGAGGCCGGACTACAAATCCGTGCCCGTCAGTGGCGGCCTTACCAGACCCATCTGTACTATGCCGTTCCGAGCTCTTGGATGTCGCTGATGGAGTCGTAGATCCGGTGCGAGCAGAGATAGGTTCGGACTCCTGAGGTGAGTCAGGAGATGCAGATGTGTCAATCTTCTTTCCAACGACGTCGGATATAGCACGAAGGCCCATAGCTCGGCGGAACTTGGGGCCAGCATTCTTCAATGGTTGGAATTGCATCGGCGAAGCGCGAGAAGAAGAGCTCTCAGAATCGCCTTTGTTGACCCGAGAAAAGTTGGCGAAGAACCCACTATTACTGATTTTGCTCTCGGTGGTTGACGACTGAGAATTGTTCCCACTTCTATCTGTTGACACGCGCGTGCTTAAGCTCCGCATTCGACTCTTCGGCGGCGTACTGTGATAGGCCTGAGCAGCCGGGGAGACATGCTTTGCTGCGTCACGGATCGAGTCCACACTGCCAATGCGAGAGTGTCGCTTCGCCGGGGACATCACTCTATATTGATCTTCTGCATAGCTTGACTTGCGCGAGTGATTGTTTACGCCGACACCGGCGGACCCCCGTTTCTGTAGAACACGGCGGGTTCGGCGTGAGTCGAGCTCGGTTCCAGAGAAATAACCCCGATCTAGGTCCTCAATTTGATCTGGGGTGCTGATATAAGAGTTGGTGTGAGAACCTGACTCAGCGGTCAGCGGTCCACTCTGTAAGCCACCCGGACTAGTTCCCGCGGAGGTTCCTGGGCGAACGGGCATGGATTGGGGGCCGGAACTCAGAGTCCAGGACCGGTCAAATGAAGGTTTCTTTTGGTGACCAACGACAACCGAATCAGACATGCCGCGTTGAGTGGCGTCAATAGAAGAATGACGACGCGCTTGGTTGAGATCACGGAGTGATGCCGCAGAGATTCTCCTCGGTGAATCATGGCTGTAGGGAGGGGTATGCGGTGTCATCGGCGAGCTGTTGTTGCTAGCCAATCGGGGGTGTTGCACCGGGGCAGAGGCTCGTGGATAACCAGCGCCGTTCTTTTCTGACAAGGTAGGAATCCGAGGAAGAAGTGGACCGGTGTGCCCAGCGCGAGACAATGCACGTTCATCAGAAGGCCCCGAGAAGCTGGAGATGGAGTCTTTCCGGGCTTGCTGCTGACTGAAGCCCTTGGTCTCTTCTTGGAATGCCTTGATCTTATGCCAGGTCTTGAGCCGCTTGCCCATGACTCCAAAATCAAATTCCTTCATGAAAAGGAAATCCTGATCCATATCAAGAAGCACATCACCGGTGATCTCCTGTTCTTCGAAGATGTCACAGTGTTTTGGATCAATACCGAGCCCGCGCAAGCATCTTGCAGTCTGTGAGTGACTCCATTTTCGCACCTCTTGCTCGGTTGGATGACTCTGCTCCTCGTCGTCGGTTTCATGTCCGTTGATATAAGAAGCCCTGTGGCCAATATGGCTGCTGTACTCGCTGCCGGAATCATTGATCGTCCTGGGCTCTTGGGTCGATACACTGTGACGTGGGGTATTCATATCCGTGATGTGCTCGTCAATGACGCTCAAGGTCTCGTTCATAACCGGACTTTCTTCGCCGTTCACATGGTTGTTCATCGAACCACGAAAGGCTTGCTGGATATCGGCCGCCAGACTTGGGCGAGGTAGCGGAGACGAGGCGGATCGATGCTGTGTGGGAGAACCAATTTGCGGTGACTGCATATCGTCGGAGCTAACGTGGCGCGATGCTTGAGGGGTGCTCTGCCCATTCCCGACTGATGCGAACGACGAATCTGCGGGCGCAGAGGATTCCAATTGTGTTGGCGACTCTACGAGTACTGGCGACTCAGCGAGGGTTTTTCTTGGGGCGCCTGGTTTAGTAGTAAAGTCTGTCGCGCAGAAATATTAGCTGGGGGAATAGTTCGGGGGTGATGAGGACGGGTCCTGGGGAGGGTGCATACTCGCAGGGAAGAGACCAGTTTGTCCCGTCCTAAGGTTTTTGCCATAGTACCAGGCATCTCCAAATCCTTCATCCAACTCAATTAATTGAATCTTGTCGCGGGGTAACATGATCAGTTCATCTTCTCCGCGCCCGCCAAATTCATCTAGTTTGGAGTGTTAGAAGCTGGGCGCATCCTGAGAAGCGGTCCTCCAAAGTCGAGGTGTCGCACACGACGTCACTTACGAAGAACCTCTAGAGTGTCGCCGGGACGAACACCCTGTGGTGGGCCCATGGTAACCATCTCTCAATATTCCGTGTGTCTAAGAAAGTCAAGAGAAAACACAATACATGGCATTTGGTGAAAGTGCAAATTTGCTTTGCAAATTGCAACCTGCGTATCCCTCTGGGGAGAGAGTTATGTGACTTCACCGAAGATAAAAAGGGGAGAGAATGTGAGAAATCTAAAAAGAGAGATGGAGATTAGAGAGGATTAGGTTAAACAACTCGCGGGGCTCGGGAGCACGAACCTCAAAGGATCCCGAACTCGGGAGGGTAGCTTGGGTATTTTTCCTTTTTTCTTAACTTTACAGGAAGGATTATATCTGTGCAATCACGATATATATCATACCAGAAAGAAAAGGACCAGGGATGATGGTGAAAGATCCAAAGAATGTCAAATATAGTCAATATATGTATAATACCAAAATTATACCAAAAATTGAAAAGAAGAAAAGGCGAAAGTGACGTGTGCAAATTGTAAGAACCTGGAAAAGTCTGGACTTGACGCTTTCCGTGGTTGAGAGAGATGTTGAGCTGAGGGGTGGCACAACCTTGGAACTTTCAATGTGATTACCTATAATTACAATAATAATTACTAGCCTGACTGGTAAATTAGCAATATAACTTGAACAGTTCAGTATTCCGTTTTCGTACATAATACATACCTACCTGGGTTAGGTATATTGTACTGCTTATATGCAGATGAACCCGGTCATTCTTGCCCAAGTTTATGTTACTGCATATGTTACATATGTACCCATGATGGATCATATTATTATAATTTAGAAGAGCAATTAGAGGATCTACTACTAGTATAGGATAACTATGATTTATTTCGTAATTATAACTATTTCAGTTTTAAGAGAGTTTCCTAGGTACCTGCGTCTATTGTTCACTCTGCACGGATCCATTCCTATTCTGGTATCTAAGCGCTAAAGTCTTAGGATTCTTTATTCCAACATGGTTGTAAGCGCCCTTTATTAAATGGACTTGACCAAAACCATCCTAATGTTTTCAACACTTACTCGATCGTCATGGCCTCACCTAAATCTCGATCGCACGCTAGTGCTGATCATATTGAAGAGTCCAATACTACTGCCAATCTGTTTTTAGGCGGCGTGCGGAGGAACTGGATGGGTCCGCAGACTAACGCCCCAGAGAACTCGGCTACGCGAAATCCTCGCGTTGAGGTCGACCTTACAGTCCCTCCCAAATCCCTCCCCCAGGCTGTCTTAATGTCCCCCATCACGCCCGGTGAGACCCTTAATCAACCTCCCTCACGTGGTCCTATTCATGCAAAAACCCCCGACACGCGAGCTACGGCTCTTCCCTCACCCGTTCTCAGTACAAATTCTCATCCAAGTCCCGTGAACGCGGATGTGATCGTCTCAAGCAGACCTCCCACACTGCCACCAATCTCTACACAACTCACGGCACAGCGTGGCGATGATGAGCGCATGGCGGTCCAACCTCCTAGCGGGCTCGCCACGTCAAGCGCGACCCAGTCCCCTCTAATGGGACCCAACCGGTCCACAGACTCGCCCTCGAACACAGGCACACGCACAGGCCATAACACACAAGGAAGCATAGTCTCGGGGCCGCAACCTAGCCTGCTGCAGATTGGGGGAACTGGGGCTGCGGCCATTCCCGATGAGGTATGGGAACAATGGTCTGGTCAATTGGATGTCTTGGTAAACGAGTTGTCTGCGACGGGAGCAATCCCTGCTCGCTCAAGAGACACGACTATTACTCGGCCTCGAATCCAGTTATTGTGCAATGCCATTAGTCGTAAGGACGCTTTCTACTTGGTGACACATCAGTTGTACTGCCGATATAGCATTGATCCAAGTACATTGGGTCAGATTAGAGCCCCTGAGTCAGGCATGCGATCACTCATCCCTCTTCTGGAAGACAATGGAAAGATGCATGATGCCGCCGTCGTTGGGTTTGCCCATTTCCCAGCGTCTCCACAACAGTTGATGCGGAGCAGGTGGTACCTCCAAGTGTTGTCCGGTGTTCCTGAGTTTTTAGCACGGCTTGCAAATGAATGGCAGGGCATCTTAAGTCACTCTCTTCAGGTTCATCATCCCCCGTTGGTGTCTCGTCTTTGGCAAGCACTCGCTTGTCCATCCCCGATTTTGATGTCGGTGATGTTTACGTGTGCTGCACGGCGCCTTTATCATGATAATGACATCGAATCCCTGCTGGAGTTGTTTTGGAAAGATTTTGAAGATTTCCAGCGGTATAAGGAATCTAAAGCTCCAGAGACGACTCAGCAGGCTCTCAACTGGCAAATCACCCAAGAGTATCTCAACTTCCCACGTTCATCCGAATCACAAACACCATCTTCCTCCCACCCTGTACGACCTCCCAGACCTCAGAATCAAACCATGTCTCAAGCCCCACTACCGCCATCCCGTCCCAGATCTTCGCTTGCTGGTGTGAGTCAACCTGCCGCAAATTCGCCTGCTCTAACCCCACTTGGTGCACCTCTGCAGCCTCTCCCCTCAAATTTGCCCCAGGGCCAGGTTGTTGGCCCACCTGGGTATCAATTTGGCGTAAACTCACCAATGCAGAATACCCCGCAAAGTCCTTATTACAACCCCATGTCACAGGGGCAAGGACAGCGGCAGGAACAGGACCGTGGTATCCGGTGAATTCACATATGAATCACCATATGAATCCACAGATGAGTCCACAGATGCAAATGCACATGCAGGCAGCGGGACATGTACCATCTTCTCGGAGGCACCAAGCACCCCCAGGTTCACATGGTCAACAAATGCAGCGTCGAACAATGCCTACAACTTCAGTAGCGCCTGCTAACTCCTCCACCGCCTCCCTCCAGCCGAGTGCTCTCACCTCTGCGCATCCATCGCAGTCACTCCACGCTCCATCGCCCATATCCACAACACCCACTACAACAAACCATATGGCCCAGCACCCGCTGCCACCGCAAAGGCCTAATAACCATTACAACCGACAGCATTCGATGAATTTGCAGTCGTCTGCCTCGCCGAGCACACGCGTGCCTCAGGGACAGCCTCCTACGGGACAGCATTTCCAGCCTTTACCTAACTCTGCCTTCCTCCCGGTACCCGGCCACAGAGCGCCCATGATGGTGAACCCAAATCCAACGCGTTTCGGTCTACATCTGGTTGATCTCCGCGATTCTATGAAGAAGCTGGTAAAACGAAGTTCAGATGGCAATGAAGTTGAGACTGATTTGTTTACCTATCTCGATACCTTCGTCGTACACCCAACCTTCGTCAACGTTGACCAGTCGATCTACACGTGGAATTTCTCTTTCACGCATGATGAGCAACAAAAGTTCCCACACGTAGCTCACGGGAAGGAAGGCCAATATTCGGTTTGGACCTTTAGGCCCGGTTGCCGGACTATTCGCCTGCGATGCATTCGTCTCCCTGGCGATCCAAACACCGTGACGGAGCAGACTTGGTCTACCGCCAGCACTTTCTGGCCTAGTGTCTTTTACATTCATGTGAATGACAAAGAGCTCTATGTGCGCCGGAAGGTTCACAACGGAAAAGACCTGCCTCTGGACATCACCGAGAACCTCAAAGCAGGCGAAAACAGTGTACGGCTCGATATGATCTTAGGACAGGATGAGTGCAAGACCTCCAAATACGTCTTCGGAGTGGAAGTCATGGAGGTCGCCGAGTTCGACCAGATACTCAGCCTGGTCCAATCCGTCTCTGCCGCGGACTCTCGTGCAGCAATCAAAAAGCGTCTCTCTCCCATCACCGACGACGATGACCTGGCAGTTGTCACCGACAACCTCACAATCGACCTAGTGGACCCCTTTATGGCACGCATCTTCGATGTCCCCGTTCGCTCGCGCCACTGCAACCACCATGAATGCTTCGACCGTGACACTTTCATAAGGACCAGGAAGTCCGTATCCGGTCTGACACCCATGGTCGATAACTGGCGCTGCCCGATCTGCAAGGGAGACGCACGCCCGCAGTTCTTGGTCGTCGATCAATTCCTTGTCGAGGTCCACGCTCAGCTTGCCCGTACAAACCGACTTAATGGGATTCGAGCAATCCAGATCAAAGTTGATGGAACCTGGACCCCCAAGTATGACACCGATGAAACCTCGCCCGCGGCAGACAGACCCTTTTCTCCGAAGCGCAAGGCCGAAGGCCCTTTCGGGCCCTGTTGCCGTGCGTACCAAGGCTGACGTGTCTAGTGGTAGCCACAGCCCGGCTGTCCGCACCCAAGAGCCTACGGTTATTGAATTGGACTAATTAGTTCAAATTTCTTCCCTTTTTCTACTCTTCTAGCGGCCCTGCCCTTCCAATGTCTTTCGTTTATCTTTGCGTGCATTCAAAAAGAAAGATACCCCTTATTGCGTGCTCTTCAAATTCCATGTACTCTCATGATCTGTCGTTGTTGACCTCGAGGGACTGCGTCTTACGGCTACCTCCAATTTTGTCTTCCGATTACCTCAAGGTGTAACAGAGTGAGAACGTAAGATAACAAAAAATTAAAAAAAAATTACATTTGAATCCAAGGCTTCATGTAGAAACTCGGCCCAGTTGTAACTGAGCACCATCGTGCCATAGCGTATACTAAGAAGTTGCACATATTCCAGATAAATCAGTTTCTCTGATATCGCCATTAGATTATACAGAATATATTATATTGGGCATTTAGATAGTACACCAAGTGTTCGGAGCAGGGAAAGACTACTTTCTGACTCTCCTAACATGACTAACGAGGTTCTCAATGACACCCTCGAAAGCCTCTTTTTCACCAACCAAGCCATCCCGCCGCTTCAGCCAGTACTCCAATACTGAACTAGCGCGCTGGGCAAACTGGTTTAGTTCCTGGACATGCAGCTTCAACTCTGCATCTGTGAGACCATTCAATGCAGCATCGGTAGTAGCACACAGCCGGCGGACCGCTGAGAGATCTATTTCTGGCGCTGGCGGTGCGCCACGGCGGGGAGTAGCCTTCTGGCGGGAGGGGGTTCGCCCCTTTTCGGTGTTGTTGTCGTTGCCTTCTTCTTTGCGGACCCGACTCCTGGAGCGAGCGCCGGGGCTCTTTGCGCCGGTGCCTTCTAGATCAATAGAAGGTAGAACGAGCTTTTTCTGTTTGGAGGCTGGGAGGATTTCGTCCAGATCAACGGGCACGCCCAGCGATACGAGGAATAGTCGGCGGATGCGGGATTTCACCCAGTTTTGGGGCTGGAGGGGTGGTGGTGCCACGAGCTGGGACCATAGTGAGAGGGAACGCTCGGTGCTGAAGATTGCTGTGGAGTCTGGGATTGGCTCCACGGGTGTGAGAGAGCTTATGTCTTGGGATTCGGGGAAGAGGGTGTTAAGGGTGTCTTGGAGGGAATCGAGGAGTTCGGAGGTGGATTTGAATGTGTCGAAGTCAGTAAGAGGTGGAGGTGCGTGGAATTGCTGAGATGCCGTAGTTTCAACTGTGGGAGCTTCTTCTGCATTGGGTTCTTGGAAACCATCGTCGAAATCTCCAAAATCGTCATCTCCCATATCTTCCTGCTCTTCTACAAACTCATCAAAATCATCACCCGCTTCTTGCTTTTCATATCCATGGTCGTCGTTCATGTCATCCTCCAATGAGAGGTCTTTGGTTTTCAGGTCTGTATCATCTATGGAGATATCTGGGACGGTCTCTACCGCATCGGGTAATGTGTCACTCGTTGAGCTTGTATGGGCTTGTGGGTGTGACGACAGGTCTTCCTCGGTGGCTATTGTGTCCACCCGCCCGAGCCGTGTCTCAGGAATGTCTGCTGTAGGCCCATCAACCTCAGGAGGTGTAGAGTCGAGAGTTGGTGGCGGTGGGCTGCTATCGGAATCTGAAGCCTTGGTCACGACGTCGGGCACAGCATCGGCGAGACGCTGATCATGTGCCAAAGTGCCGGGAACCTCGCCATGGCTAGGTTCATCTGGATCGACCTTCTCAACCACTGTGCGCGGAACCGGCAAGCCTTCAGTACACAAGCTTTGGTTCTCTGACCCCGCGGGCGAACGCGTCTGGCTATGTGAGCCTTCTGGAATAACCTCAATTTCATCGGGGACCGCGTCCTGTTGTCTTTTTTCAAATGCTGCTGTGCCAGGGGTCTCGCCATGCTGGGTGCTGCTATCAACCCTCTCGACTCGAGTCCGCGGGACAGGGGAAGTGCGACCGGATTGTGGGAGTGACTGGGGTTGGGGATTGCCTTCACTGGCGTCTGAGAAGTATTCATCGTCGCTTTCAGAAGCTGCTAGAAAATATGTCAGTTCCAAACAAATATTCAAGTATATCCAAGGGTCATGTACTATGGTCGCCAGCTCCTGGATCTTGCATTTCTGTAGTTCTGCTGGGGGGGCTCAAGATGCGAACTAGACAAATCGGACAGCCCCTCCGACATGATTGCAGCTTTAATTCAGGGTGTTTAACATGAAAGAAGGGGCACACAGAAATGAATAGTCCAAAATGCAATGGGCCGTGTGTAGTGTGCAGTGATACTTGTTTCCCTGCGATCGATGTGAGTCCAGACACATCTGCCTTAGGCACCCGTTATCGAATAAGTTGGCCAATTTCTTCAGGCACCATTTATGCCTTGTATTCAAGGCGTCAAACTTCAGCGCGCGCTTGCCAAACTCCTTCCAACAATTATTGTCTGTCTTGACGTTCTTGTCCTGCCTTTCTCATTCCACCCTTAGGCTCTTTGTCTCAATTTATTCGATCAAGAGCTCCATTCTCTCATTGCTGGATCTTTCGATCCATTCTGCAGGCCCACCTCCCCTGCTCCGTCTGTCGCTGGCGCTTTCTCTCCGTCCAGCTTTTTCCCTCCCATTCCTCAAGCTCGATCACCAACACCATGGGGTTCTCTTTCGGCACCCCGGCCTCTACTGGCGCCTCTAGTGGAAATCTCTTCAGCACAGCGGGGAACGCTTTCGGTGCCAACAAGGATAGCAATGCGTCTAGTGGTGGCCTCTTCGGTAATGTTGGAGCTTCGTCCACCGGCAACAGCGCGCCGTCGTTGTTTGGAGCAAACCCCGCAAGTGGCCAAAGCACACCAACCTTCGGTAATGCAGGCGCTTCCAGTGCGACCAGTGGCGGTACTTCGGCCTTCAGCTTCGGCGGCAAGGCTCCCTCCGAAACTGGCACGCAGCCCAACTCACTCTTCGGCGCCGCTGCCGGCAGCCAGACTCCCAACAAGTCCACGGAATCGACCACACCTGCCAGCAGTTCCCTATTCGGCGGCGGAGGCACAAAGAGCTTGTTTGGAAACGCGGCCCAAACTGCTACCCCTGCTCCCGCGGGAGGCAATTTGTTTGGCAATAACTCCACCACCCCTGCTGGTCCGCCGCCTGCATCCAACCCACCCAGCAGCTTATTCGGCGCCGCGAAACCGGCAGACTCGACTACCCCCACAGCAGCGCCGTCGTCTACCACGCCTGCCACCTCACAGGCACAGCCCTCTAACAATATGTTCGGAGGGGGGGCAACCAAGTCGCTGTTTGGAGGTGGCGCAACCCCTGCTGCGCCCAGCGGCGGTCTATTCGGTGCAAGCAAGCCGGCCGAGTCACCCGCTCCTGCGACCGCTGCAGAGACAACTCCTAAATCACTTTTCGGCGCTGCTGCACCCGCAGGTGGTGCGCAAAGCTCCCAGACACCGTCTCTGTTCAAGAATACTGCTGCTCCCAGCGGCGATTCCGCTTCGAAGCCTGCATTCCCAGCCCTCGGCGCTCCTGCCTCCGCCGCAAACACAACTCCCTCCCTAGGAGCTCCAGCCACGTCGGGTGCTACCCCTCAAAAGTCTCTTTTCCCTTCCACTGGAAGTGCCACATCCACAGCTGCTCCCTCCACGACTCCAGCAGCAGCTCCTCTTGGAGGAGGCCTGTTTGGGGCCTCGGCTCCCTCCACTACTCCAGGTACTGCGGCCACTGCCGCGCCTGCTACTACTACTGCTGCAGCACCTACGGGCGGCTTGTTCGGCCAAGCTACTACTACGCCTTCGACTCAGCCAGCGACCTCCGCCAGCTCAGCACCACTTAGTGGCCTTGGTAGTAAAACGACCACTGCTCCGACTACAACAGCTGCCGGCGCTGCTCCAGCTGCACCCTCCGCCCTTGGTCAGTCTACTACAGGGCCCGCTCCTCCAGCCCAGTCACGTCTGAAGAACAAAACCATGGATGAGATCATCACCCGATGGGCTACAGATCTTGGCAAATATCAAAAGGACTTCCGCGAGCAGGCGGAGAAGGTTTCCGAATGGGACCGTTTGCTGGTGGACAATGGTACCAAAGTTCAGAAGCTGTACGGCAGCACTGTTGATGCGGATCGAGCTACTCAGGAGGTTGAGCGCCAATTGTCAGCGGTTGAAGGCCAACAGGATGAGCTCAGCTCATGGCTGGATCGATACGAGCGTGAAGTCGACGAGATGGTTACCAAGCAGGTGGGCCCTGGAGAGTCTCTCCAAGGACCGGACCAGGAGCGTGAGACAACGTAAGTATATTCCCAACACAACATCTGATATGGTCTTGCTAACTGAGCATTAGTTACAAACTGGCCGAGAAGCTCTCGGAACGCTTGGATGAAATGGGCAAGGATCTTACTAGCATGATTGAAGAGGTCAACGGTGCTTCATCCACATTGACTAAGACCAACAAGGCGGATGAGCCGGTAAGTCACAAACTCAGTATCGATACGTTTTGTGGGGAATATATTGCTTACGCATCTCTATAGATTTCGCAGATTGTTCGCATTCTCAACGCACACCTGTCCCAGCTGCAGGTCATCGATCAGGGCACCTCAGAGCTGCAGTCCAAGGTTACTGCCGCCCAAAAAGCAGGTCAATCGATCTCTGCTCGTCTTGGATACGGCTATCCTAACAATGGTATGGGCAACAACAATACCGCTGATGATTTCTACCGCTCTTTCATGCAAGGACGGTAAAGGGGGTGGATGGCTTTTTCTAATGATTTGAACTCGGAGTTATCGGCTACTTGGCACCTCGATGTGCTTTGGGGGAATGTTCTGTTGTAGTCAGGAAATGCTAATAGTCGGTCACAATAAAATGCTTGGATGCCGTTTGTGATTAGCACCTTGAACATTCGTAGAATCCAATGCAACAGGATTGACAAATTCTCGGATGCTCATTGTATTGCTAATGTTGATGATCGGACTGAGGCTCCAGAAGATCTATCACTTTTCTCTGTCTTTCTTCTGATTTCCGTGCTCCTTCTGATGCTAGATGCACAGGCAATTGACCCTTGTGATTTTTGACCAGCCGGTCAGCGCCTGCCTCTAGCAGCAACCTGACGAATTCCACATCGCTTCTCCGCGCTGCCAAGTGCAACGGAGTATTTCCTTCCCCGTCCCTTGGTTGTGCATCAGCGCCTTTCTGCAACAAATGCCTTGCCGACTCTAAAGAGCCAGAATCCGCTAGGCTGTGCAGCGGCATCGAGCCCAGCCTAGTTTTTGGCTCTACGTCCGCTCCATATTGTAGCAATAGCTTGAAAAGTTCCGTAGTTCCTTTCAACGTCACGCAATGCAATGGTGTGATGTTGGAATCATTTCCCCGGCTTGGATTGGCGCCTCGTTCCAGCAAGAGAGTGGTCACAGAGGCCGGCCCCAGTTGCTTACATACAGTGCCCTCCCAGAGTACCGCCAGCAGCAATGGTGTTTTCCCACTTAACGATCTTGCCTCTATATCTGCACCCTGGTCCAGCAAGAACGCTGCTGTTTCTGCCCGGCCATTCCAGCACGCCCGATGCAGTGGTGTCTCACCTTGCTCATCTTTCACCTCGATATCGGCTCCTTTCTCCACCAGCAACTTCACAGTCTTGACTTCATTGGTTGCCTGGTGCAGGAGCGAACTTCCATTCCGACCCCGCGTGTCCAAACGGGCACCGCTTTCTATTAGGCACCGAGCCACTTCCACGGAGCCAGACCCGCACGCTACCTGCAACGGAGTCTCGCCACCATAGATAGATTCGATGTTGGCACCTTTCTCAATCAGAACTCTCACCACTTCCTCGCGGTTATTGTAGGCTCTTTCAGCCGCAATATGCAATAGGCTACCCCTGTGGCCCGTCAAATTCGCGTCAACGCCGTTATCAAGCAAAATTCTAGCGACGGCTGCCTTATTGCGGAGCACTGCCGATCTGATTGCGTCGTTGGGCCCCCCATCGCCTTTGGCGTTCGGGTCGGCTCCATGTGCCAACAGGAATGCAACAATATCTGCATGGTCGCTGTGAACGGACTGTATCAATGGTGTTTTTCCTGTTTTCCTGTTCCTCGAATCGATTTGCGCTCCTTGTCGGAGTGATTCTTGGGCTGTTCCTAGTTGTCCCTGGCTTGCTGCCCAATGGAGTGCGCTCCCTTGGTGCTGTCGGACGTTGTAGGCATAGAGGAAGGGGTTCAGGAGCATAAAACAGCGGCGACTGGTGCTTGCAAATGCATTTATGTCTCTTTGGCAGTCTTGTCTGTCTGATATGGCTAGCAGAAGCTCATTTGGTAGGCTAAGGAGAGCCATGGAGGGGTATTTGCCCAGGTGTCGAGGGCTTAGACCAGGTAAGATGGAAGGAACCTCAGTGTAGCTGGACGGTCCCGCTTTGTTTATGTGGAGACCGTCGACAACCTCCAGCTTACATACATATTCTTGTGCTCGGTCCAATCACGGGTGTATTTTTTCTTCGCTTCTTTTTGCACCGAATCCTTTCTAACAAGCCAAGGCATCCATTCGAAGCGATAAGAAGCGAAGAAAAACCCCCTGTGTGGCCCAAAGCCCAACCCGCTATGTATGCGTTGGGCCGAGTATCTACACCTGGGCATTGTACAATGCTTACATACGTATACACCTGGTCTGCCATAAACACACACTGCGGGACACCTGGGCAATTTCCCCGGGTTAGTTATCTTCCACAAAAAAAAATACGAAAATCCTTTGTGCTTGTCCAAAGATCACGAACATATAGGTAGTATACTAAGCCAACAAACCTAAACACTACTTAGCTAGTAATGTCGATCTTTCCCAATGATATATCCAAGTGACTTACTGAGCACTGTACACACAATAATGGAGAACTTATGCTATAATAGAGAGATGTCTTGTTTAGGAACAGTCGCTGGAAACGGTACGATCTCAAGGCAGCAGGCAAGCAAGATAGCTCGTTGGAGGGGAGATGGTATTATACACAGCAGTTGGAGTAGCTCTTCATATTAAACATAAGATAAAATGGGTGCTTGGAGTCTAGCGGCTCAAGCCATCACTAAAGAGAAGCCAGTCAGTCATGCCATTCACATTTAACAGAAAAGGAAGATAGTCAACAATTTCCTGACTTGCACTTACATGTGGGTCTCCAGTTCATCCAAGTGCTTGCGCTGCTCGCTGATCTTCTTCTTTAACTGAGCAAGCCTGTCAAACCAATTAGCTCGCCGCTCCGACCTGGTTGTTCTCGGCTTTGCCAAACTTACTTCTCGAGCTCCTTCTCACGGATGTAAAGGCTCTCTTGGGCAGCCTCGCGCTTGGTGAATGCGTCACTAGTAGAGGGACAGATGTTAGCGACCTCTCATACAGATATGATGTCATACGACTGCGGCAAGTCAGACACGGGCCTGTCTGCTCATTGCCATCGAACTTCCAAGTGTAAGTTCCGCAGTCAACTTGCATCTCACTTACCCGGAAGAGGCACCACCGCTAGGGCGGGGAGCGCCGGTGTCACCTTCGCCCATACGAGGGACAGCTACCGAGAAGGAGCGTGTGAAAACTGCCCGGTTGGCAGTAGCGGCAGGACGGGCAAATTGACGAAGCATGATGATTTGAATGGTAGAGGGGTTCGAGTGAGATATGTGAGGTAAGTTCGGGATGAAGTTGACAAAGTACGAGGAGAAGTAAAGGCAACACTTGGAAGCTTATAGCAAATGACGTTACATGCCAAGAAACATCATGTGATGGACGGAAGAAACAAGCTTATGTCAGACACCGGGTCATGTGAACAAAAATTTCTGATAAGTCGCGGCCTTCTCATTCGACTTTCCACTTGGGCCTCCAGGGCTTCCAAGTATATGATAGCCCAGTACTTCAACTACTTCAATCACATCACAGGGACGGTCACATCATTAATCGACTGCAGGTGACTCTTTTTCTTTCCCTTCCTTTTTTGACTTTTTTCTACAACACGGATAGTCCGAGGGTAGAGCCTCTACCCTACTCTGTATATCAATTCGTTCTAGACTGTTTCGAGCCCATCTTGCCTTTTGTGATCTCGAATGAGGCGCAAGTAAGGAACCCCCGGGCGATTGGCGGATGCGGAATGGGGGATGACGCTGTAGGAGGCCCACCGAACCACACAGAAGCGATGAGAGAAGATTTGTGTATAGTATATGGCAAAATGGTATTATATTCTTCGATTACTTTTTGTATATATAAAAATAAAATAATTAAAAGAAAACAGTAGTTGAGGTCACTTGGACTTGTTCACTTATTTTTTTGGATATTTCACCAGCAAAAAAAAACCACAAAGCCCAAAAGAAGTGGGTTGTTCAGGTAAATCCCAACACCGCCTTCTGCCCCCCTCCTTTCCTCCTACCTCCTCTCTCTCAACTCCCTACTCTCTCTCTTCCATCTTCCATCCATCTTGCTATTCCTTTAATCACCTTCTTTTTCTTTTTCACAAACCAGGTCAGTGTCTTCCTGTCGTTTCCCCTATTGAATTTGCCCTTTTCTCGCCCTATTTCTATGCCCATCCCCCCGTCATCACCGCAAAACCCACACATATCAACAATCCATGGTGGAAAGAGACCCATCTTAAAACTACGATTCTCCCCCCAAATTCAAACCATGGGATCGCGCCACAATTTACGGTGCAAACCACATGTTCTCGTCTCCTTGTTTACTCGTTGAACCGTTGCCGCGACCGCTTTCCTGCGATACCCCCCAACGATACACGGGAAGACCCAAGGGCCCAGTAACCGCCACGATCGTCATGATCGGCCAAATCATTGGGGTCTCTAGTTTATGGCCCCAATGCTTTGTCATTCACAGACGTTCTACGTGATACTCATGGAAACTCAACTGGGCCCTTTCCCGTATATCTGAAGGGGGGTCGAGGGTCGATATCTACCCCTCGCCATCGCCTACTTGCACTGTCCCATGGCGTGATTTTCAGCCCTCACCTCAAAAACATTATCAATCCGAGAATGAAAACCCATGCGAGAAAAAAAAAACAACAAATTGGCTAACATAGTTTTGACTGTAGAAAACACACATTCACAATGGGTCACGAAGACGCTGTTTACCTCGCCAAGCTCGCTGAGCAGGCTGAGCGCTACGAAGGTTGGTTCCTCTTAAATCTAGATTTAGTTGCACAGGTCTCTGACAATCTGACGCAGAGATGGTTGAGAACATGAAGGTCGTCGCCTCGGCCGATGTTGAGCTCACCGTTGAGGAGCGTAATCTCCTGTCTGTCGCCTATAAGAATGTCATTGGTGCCCGCCGTGCCTCGTGGAGAATCGTCACCTCTATTGAGCAGAAGGAGGAGTCCAAGGGCAACGAGTCCCAGGTCACTCTTATCAAGGAGTACCGCCAAAAGATCGAGGCCGAGCTTGCCAAGATCTGCGACGATATCCTCGAGGTTTTGGACGAGCACCTCATCAAGTCCGCCCAGAGCGGCGAGTCCAAGGTCTTCTACCACAAGATGAAGGGTGACTACCACCGCTACCTTGCTGAGTTCGCCATTGGCGACCGCCGCAAGGGTGCTGCCGACTACTCTCTGGAGGCCTACAAGGCTGCCACTGAGATCGCCTCCACTGACCTTGCCCCTACCCACCCCATTCGTCTCGGACTTGCCCTCAACTTCTCAGTCTTCTACTACGAGATTCTGAACTCCCCCGACCAGGCTTGCCACCTCGCCAAGCTTGCCTTTGATGATGCCATTGCTGGTATGTTGAAATCCAGATTTTCGCCGCGTGCATTGACCAAAGCTAATATTTGTCTGCAGAGCTCGACACCCTGAGCGAGGAGAGCTACAAGGACTCTACTCTCATCATGCAGCTTCTCCGTGATAACCTGGTAAGTGTTCAAATCATCTGCTGATTCATTTTGTTCATACGCTGACCCGCATTTCTCACCAGACCCTCTGGACCTCGTCCGAGGCTGAGCCCGCTTCCGAGAGCGCTGCCCTGCTGAGAAGAAGGAGGAGGCCCCGGCCGCCGAGGCCGAGAAGCCCGCCGCCGAGTAAATGATTAACACCTAAAAAGACCTTGTTGATGGACACGCGTCCTCAGGGCGGATGGAACAACCGAGAGGAAGAGAGTGCGCGACGGGTCTTCTAATGCAAGGACAGATTGGAGAGGGAGAAAGGACGATGAGATCATTGGCCCGAATGTCGGTTTATAGTATCGCAGAGACTCGCAAGGGTTGGTGTGAGAAATATTGCGACCTTGGGTGTCGATGCTCTGCCATTTTTGCCTTGAATCTTCTCTACTTGCCTTTTGCTTTGGCCCGGCGCTTGTTTTCTGCCCTGGGGAATATTCATCCTGTCTCCTCTTTTCGTTTTTTTCATTCTCCTTGTTATTTTGTCTACTTTGCCTCTTAACTACCCAAAGAGTCCCCTTGCGCGCACTCTCCCAGCCCAACACACATACACACACAGAAGTTCTTCAAATCAGTTCCTTATCAGGACTTCAACAAGGGTATCCCTGCTGATCCCTAACCTGGCTTTTCACCTTTCCTATTGATCACTCCCCGTACATGTGCCATGTGGCGTTTGATTCTCACTAGATGTGGTTTCGAAGATAATCTCTCGTACACTATTCCAGTAATGACCTGGCGAATCATTGTAGCTGAAGCATGATGGTGCTCGTACGAGTCTATTTTCATCGCCTTTGATTCTGCAGGGTATATATAGCACGCTGTCTTGTCTAAGTAAACTATGTAGACCGTGCAGATGAAAGCTACTATCATAAACTTGACCGTCCCTGAATCAACACTCGCTTACCCACAATATCTTCATTTCCCTGCCCGTTGATAGCACGGCCACTGATCAGCGCATCAAGGACATCGATCGGTGTGTACACCGGTTCGGCTATTCTGTGAAGAACTAATAATATATGCATCTGCAACTAGCCCTATTGGGCCAGATCTCATAGTGCTAGTCTAAAGTAGACCCAAACCCAATTAGCATCCAAGCGAACTATATACTGTATACGTTCAATTCAATATGCATACCAAGGTCTCTATTATAACAGAAGGTATAAAATCCCACACAACCAACAGGACAGGTAACGCGAAAGATATAGTCTATACCAGATACTCAATTCAAACCAATATTGTTCCAGATAATGAATCGGCACTATATATCTAACTAGAATGTGCGGACATGTGCATATGCCCGGGTACTGCAGAAGAACCGCAATGATATCAGTGGCTGTATTAGCTGGACACTATCGAGCTTAGGCGCGCCAACCGGTATCACATCACGGTTGATCGTCTTCACACGGTATGCATGCCATACCGTGTGTTCGTTTGGCACT